ATATTCAAAAGTAAATTTTGTAAAAAAAAAATTCCATTTTTTCCGTATTTTACTTATAAATGGACTTAGTTTTTCTGCCAGGAAACATTACATTCACTCTGTGGTTAAAGTTTTTGAAATTTTAATAACTTTCTTAAACTATCCTGGATTTCTACCAAACTTAGAAAGAAGCTTGTTTATGATCATAAGATAGTATCCAGAAGTAAATTTTGTAAAAAAAAAATTCCATTTTTTCCGTATTTTACTTATAAATGGACTTAGTTTTTCTGCCAGTTAACATTACATTCACTCTGTGGTTAAAGTTTTTAAAATTTTAACAACTTTCTTAAACTATCCTGGATTTGTACCAAACTTAGACAGAAGCTTGTTTATGATTAAAAGCTAGTATCTAGAAGGAAATTTTGTTCCATTTTTTCCGTATTTTACTTATAAATGGACTTAGTTTTTCTTCCAGTTAACATTACATACAGTCTGCAGTTTAAGTTTTTAAAACATTTATTAGATTCATAAACTATCCTGGATTTTTACCAAACTTGGACAGAAGCTACTTACAATCAAAAGATAGTATAGAGAGGAATATTTTTATTAATTTTTTTCCTCATTTTTGCTGAGCCTGTGATTAACAGCAAAAAGTAGGCGAGACACTGGGTTCCGCGGAACCCTTACGAATTTTATTGGTTATTATCTTGAATATTATTATAGATAGAGATAAACTGAAAACAGCAATAATGTTCAGTAAAGTAAGATCTACAAATAAGTTAACATGACCAAAATTTTCAATTGACCCCTTAAGGAGTTATTGCCGTTTAAAGTCAATTTTTAACAATTTTTCGTAAATTTTTGTTATCTTTTACAAAAATCTACTCCTGAAACTTCTGTGCCAAATAGAATCAATCCTGGCCACAATCATCATTAGGGTATTTAGTTTAAGAAATGTGTCTGATGACCCTGTCTGCCAACAGAGATGGCTGGAGTGGCTAAAAATAGAACATAGGGGTAAAATGTAAGTTTTGTCATTATTTTGATAAATTGTTATAAATAGAGGAAATCTGAAAAGGGTAAAATTGTTCAGAATGTTGAGCTCTTTCAATTGTCCATATACGCCAAAACTGTCAGACGATTTCCTGTAGGAGTTATTGCCCTTAAATGACAAATTTTACCACTTTTTTTCATTTTTGCCTATTATCTTTAAAACTATAATAGACTGAGAGAAACTTTAAATTGTAAAAATGATCAGAAGGACAAGTTCTACAAATAAGTTCATGGTTGAAATGTTCAGTTGACTCCTTATTAGACTTATTGCCCAATATTGTCATTAATTCTATTCTCGTCTACAATGTTGGAGAGTGTCCTTTGTTGAATATGCATATAGACCAAGGTGAGCGACACAGACTCTTTAGAGCCTCTATTTTTTTGTTCTTAATAAATAATAAAACAATTTTTTACATTTTTGGTTTATTTTCTATTTCATCAATTTCATTATCATATTGACTTGAATTAATTTTATTTCGTTCATCTGGAATTCCTTTCTTAGTGGTCCAGTAATAAAACATCATTATCTTACTTTCTAGTCCGGCCATGCATCCATACATATTTAATACGCATGGGCATGATGGGCAGACTTACCTGACAACCGCACTTCCGTTAAAAACACAGGTGACCCATTTGTCTGATTGATTTTCTTAATCATTTCAGATATTTTTGAGGAAATAAGATAATATTTGTAAAATTGAGTTTTCAGTAAATAAATTCAAATCAAATTTGATGCAATTTTTATATATATATATAATAAAGAAGAAATATATCAGATATAAACGATCAAAGCCTTAGGTGGGCGGATTTACAGGACTGCATCGTATAACTAAAACTGTTTTGTCCAAGACTCACTGCAAGAGAGTGTTAGTCTTTTGATGAATGTTCTAAAACAAAGGCATTTGACAAGGTACCTCACAAAAAATTATTAAGAAAGATGGATAATTATGGCATAAGGGGAAATACCTGGAATTGGGTATCAGCCTTCCTTAATAGTAGAACACAACAGGTTGTCCTTGATGGGGAGGTATCTAGTCAAATGCCTGTGGTCAGTGGGGTGCAGCAAGGCTCAGTCTTTGGTCCACTAACTTTTCCTTATTTTCGTTAATGACCTCCCTGCAACAGTAACATCAAAAACATGCTTTTTAACTTTCTAGTTTGTTATTGAAGTTTACCGGATTGTGACATTGACAAACAATCAACACAGAGCAAATGACAAATAAGTGAATTATTAGAGCCAAAACGTATTTTTTTATATTTTCCATGCATTCCCATTTGTTAATTAAACTTTTCATTAACAGCACTTAAATTATTTTTTGTGTCAAATTTGTTCTTTAAGAACCAGTTATAACATTTTACGTTCCAGTGCATGTTTGTATACATTCTTTTATCTTGGTTTTCCCCTTGCACTTGCCCCGTGTATAGTTAAAATGTTAGGGGACTGCATATGGGAAAATATTGGTGAATTAGTGTACAGGAAGACAATAATTCAATAGCAGTACATATATGCAGATTTTGATAATATGAAGATTAAAGCAGTGATGTTGTTAAAGAATAAGGGTATCCCATGACATGTTGTTAGATAAGGTGATACCAAGATATTTTGCAGTGTTGACAGATTCTAATCTAAAATTAGCTGTCATCAACAATCACTGAATGAAATATTATTTGTCGATAATACGTTATAGATTCCTAATAAATATGAAAAAAAACATGCATACAAGACTTAGTTTATTATATATGCATGCATTGATTCAATAATTTCGATAACAATACAATTATAAGATACTCCTTTTTTTTTATGATTTTAAGAAGTCCTTTCATTAAATAATTGTAGTGAACTGTATTTTCATTTTCATGCCTGGCAACTTTTTGAAACCTCCATTGGCGATTTTAAGCACAAGTGGACCTACTGCATACATTTTTACCTTTACATGTTATCAGTGTACTTAATAAGAACATGTATGGTTTTGAATGAGTATACATGTGTTTAAATGTATATTTTACTCCTCTGAATGCCTTTTTAAAAGTATTTAGTCTAAATAATTGAGTATTTTATGTCATCTGTACTATTATTTGTCTGTTTGTCTTTTTATTTTTGGCCATAGAGTTGTCAGTTTGTTTTCCATCTATGAGTTTGACTGTCCCTCTTGTATCTTTCGTCCCTCTTTTAAGGGTCAGGTCAACACCTCTCATGGGGGATATCCCCAAAAAGTGGGAAAGTTGGCAGGTTTGCATTTTACAATATTGATGCATATTTTGTCTTACCAGTTTTGAAAATGATGAGTCCAGAACTCATGAACTTCTCTTAATGAGAAATCTGAGTATCATTACATTTGTATTTTGAAATGACAGCAAAAGTTTTCCTGTATTAAAGTGAAGATTGTTCCTGTTAAGGTCCTTTTTCATAGAATAATTGTTGAAGTAGGAATAAAATTGAGAATGGAAATGGGTAATGTGTCAAAGAGACAACAACTCGACCAAAGAGCAGAAAACAGCCCAAGACCACCAATGGGTCTTCAACACAGCGAGAAAATCCCACACCCGGAGGCAGGCTTCAGCTGGCCCCTAAACAAAAATGTGTACTAGTTCAGAGAAAATGGACGTCACACTAAACTCCGAAACATATAATTATAAATGAACTAGAATTAAAAAACATACAAGACTAACAAAGGCCAGTGGCTCCTGACTTGGGACAGGCGCAAAAATGCGAAATCCTACCTAATGTCAAGTAATTGATTACATAAAAAAACTGTCATAAAAGTATAAATAGATTACAAAAAAATCCTTCAAGAACTATGGTTTAATTTATTTTCTTGGATACCAATTGTTTGGATTGAGGAAAAATTGTATTTTCGTGGATATTTGATTTCATGGTTTTGCTAAAGTCTGTATTCAAGCCTAGAGGTAATTGGCACTTTGTTGAACATCTAAATTTGTGGTTTACCTTTAACCAGGAAATCCATGAAAATTGGTATCACTATCCCACGAATATTAATGAATCCACAGTAATAAATATTGAATGGATTACTTTGACAGTAATTATTCCCATCCTTTTAAATATAGGAACTACAAGGAACAATGAAATTCCCAATTTTTTAAGGAGAATATTTATTTGGTAATTACTTTTGTTTGAAAAACTGTTAGCACCTAAAGCTGTGAACATGATTGGATAAAAATATCAAATTACAATTTGACATAAATTGTTATGCTATTTGAGTGATGTACTGACATTGACACACATTCAACACTAGTTATCTACTGAAAAAAAATTATCTTTCTGAATGTGACATTTAATTATCATGTATATTTTTTATGATTTATTTTATTTAATTTTCATCTTCATATCTTAAGGGATGACTGAAATATGGTTCGAAATTATAGCACAACACTTCCAATTTTTCCACCAGTGAAATCTATCACTATGATTAATTTAAGTTATTTATTGTTTTATTGAACATGTAAGAACATTTTTGTAAATCTCGGGAAAAAAAGAAATTTTATTTATAATACAATATCAGACCTAGAAAAACAAGATTAGAAGACCACATCATTTGAAATTGTGTACATTTGTGTATGTATATTTCATGTACTAATTAGGTCATAATTGATTAATATGAATTAAAAAAAATTGGCCAATAGTAGGAATTGTGTATTTAGATTTCATGCACTGGGATACACCATATTTGATGTATATACATTTTTACAAACAAAAATAGTTTTGCAATAAGTCCAGAAAAGTAATGCATTTATATAAACTATGTCAAAGTGATTATGTAGTGTAAAGAATTAAATAGACTCATCATAGATACCAGGATTAAAATTTTGTATGCCAGGCACACGTTTCTTTTCTACAAATGACTCATCAGCGACGCTCAAATAAAGAAATTAAAAAAGCCAAATAAAGTATGAAGTGAAGAGCATCAAGGACCCATTAACTTATGGTCACCTTAATTTTGTTTTTTCAGAGTTCTGTAGAAGATGAGTATTGGGATACGTCTAGGGCATCAGCAAAGAAAAACAAAGGATTCAACCTGTTTGATGATACAGTAAGATACATGTCTATACATAATACATAACAAAACTTAGTGGCTGACATAAAGTTTTCCTATTTTCATTCAATGCAAAGAATATTTTTGTAATTTTAAATTTTATGATTATGAATCAAAATTTTGTGAGAATACATGCAATTCTGGACTTCCAAAGTTACCTATAGATAGGTTTTTATATGGTGCAATATGAGTTTGAGTTACTTCCCTTGGACAGCATTTTGAAGGGGTAAATAGTTGATTTTCGTGTTTGACTAACCAAAATGAAACATGTGGTATAAACAATTAGGATAAGGGATCTTTACTAGATTGTTGCAATGGATCAAGCAAAGTTAAAAGAAATTAAAATTATTCAGAAAACAACTTTTTCTACAGTCTATTGGTCAGTAGAACAAGTTGAATTTGCCTGATTTATGAAGGAACTTCTACACATAGACCTCCAACATTGCGACAAAAGGGAATTAATTCTTGCTCAAATTGTGTCATTCAAAACCTAGGATCCATTAAGCTTCCTTTAACAAAGAGAAAGTTATTGTAAAGTGTTTATATAACTTGATCACTAAACAATTAACAATTCAAGTATGGAACATTTTTGTGTAGGATTCTGTTGCAAAATATGAATAAATAAAAGAGCTTGGCAGGAATTATTCAATAAAGACGATATTAATACATTTACCATATTCAATACCTTTTTCCCTATTTATGTCCACTTATATTTTACATACTGTTTGTCAACAGGTATCTGTAGAGACAGCAGATGAATTACGGAAGTCAAAGCGGTTACTGCGATCATTTGATGAGGATGATGATGATGCAACTGATACCATTAACTGGGACGGGACCCCCTCTGCAGATACAGGTGATACTATTCTCAGATTAAGTTTTTCTTGAAGTGTGTAAAAAAAAAATTTTTTTAATTTACCAGGTCTACAAAATTTCTGTATGAATAATCAGTATAATCTGTTCTGAATAAATAATTTGATGGTAATACAATTTGAGAAGATCTTACAAATAGATTTTTGTTATTCAAGTTAACTGTTGCTAGCTAGTTACTTAATTCAGATGCTCTAGAACAGGGAGCAGTATTCTTTTTTTCATAAAAAATGGTAGGATAAAAGAAATAAAAACATGAAATTTGAGTTGAAGGATATGCATGATATATTTTACAATACTTGTAGGAAGTATAAATCCAGATTATAGTAGAGTTATTGTTATTTATTTTCTATATTTGTGGATTATTTACGTATCTTTGATTTGATTGTTTGCATGTGTGCATGTGAGTCTTGACTATGAAATTGTAGTACAAATATATGCATTAAATAATAAAGTACATGATTGTCCTATCTACGGAGCAAACTATGACGAGAAATTAATTAACAAATGTTATAACAAATTTTTTTGGGTGCAATTCATCAGCTTATTTTGGTTACAAAAAGATAAAGATACTTTTATGTTTGACCAACTAGATTTACATATGTAGTGCTGAACAACATCAGCAAACAAGAAAACTACTAAAATTGTCTTTACAGTATTAAAAGTAAACTTTATTCATTAACATGTTAAGTACTTTGGACTGCCAGAAAAATGGTTTCTTTTGTTAATTGTTAGAATCCAATTTGAACAGAGCATACTTTATTATTTTGGCCTTTATTTGACAAATTGTTACGATGCATGTGTATCAAAGTCTGCATAGTTATATTCAATTACACTATAGTATTGTGAAAATAAAGCATGTTCAATGCTATATTGTTTTAGTTTCATACCAATATATGCTTTCATTTATCAAAAGCCTCAAGAACACCACAACCAACCACTGTTTCACCTTCCCCAATGCATCAGCCAATAAAATCATCCCTTTCACATGACAAATCCAGAGAGAGGCTACATCCTATTCAACAGATGACACACACAAGATCCCAAAGTTTTACCATTGGTGAGTTTTCCTCCAGACACATGTGAAGCTTTCTGTGATTCACCATATTTCACAAATTTAAATTTTGCTGTAATGCAATGTTTGTTAGCATCAACACTATTATTTTCTTCAGATTTTGTGAGTACTATATAGCAAATTAAGTGAAAAGAAAACTGTAAACGTGCTATATTATTTTGGCATAAGAATCTATGAAATTAAACCAATTTTTTTCATGTTCATAACGCTCTCTAAAAAAAAATGTCATTGTTTGTGTTTGCATACTAACCTCCATATTGATTTTCCAGAAGCACAAGATCAAAGCACTAAAATTGAAAGTATGAACATCCTTGCATGCTCCCTTTTCATATAACAATTTTGTTCATTTATATATATGATTCTTCATGTTATCATTGCAAGCTTATGTTAATTTGTGTTGTTTCATTTTGTGATGTATTGGAGGTTTGAAAAAAAATTATGATTCCATTGAAATAGGCAGCTTTTATGTATTGTTTAACATTTTTGCTTTAAATGACCTTTTAAACTTTGTGAGCTTACTTGACAAAATACAGCAAAGATTTTATCAAGCTTTTTCTTAGTTTCTGTCAGCTGTCAGGAGTCCAGACCCAGAACTGGAGGGAAAAATAAATGAAAAGCATATTATGTAATCATAGCCTTGAAGTACTAAGGATTCATTTATTATTGTGGCATCAATATTCATAAATTTAGGAAAATTTGTACTATCTTGGAAACTAGATTTCTTTGGTTGAAAATTTTTTCATGCAAGCAAGTAGGAAATCTTTTTACCTTGAAATCCTTGAAAATTGTTTTTTAACAAATCATAAATCTATTTATATTTATCATTTAAGGTAGTTAATGCAAAAATCATTCATGTGCATACCACTTTTCTTGTAAGACTTCAATACCATCTTGACAGTAAAAGAATCTTTTTTTCAAAAAAATGTTAAATATTGAGATCAAAACTGTTGTGTAATTTTTTGTGAAACAGTTTGAAGTAGTAAATTTTACCTTTAAGCCTAAATTTCAAGTGTCAGATTTGCACAGCTTGCAATGTTTGATATTATTTTTTGGTAAAATGGAGAAATAGCTGAACAGATTTGAAAACTTGTACAAAAACCATTTAATACATGAATGGTTTTAGCCATAAGAGAATTCCTTCCTGGTTGCCTACAGCATACAACATCCATATCCATATCCATATCCATATCCATATCCATATCCATATCCATATCCATATCCATATCCATATCCATATCCATATCCATATCCATATCCATATCCATATCCATATCCATATCCATATCATGTCAAAGCTTTTCAATTATTGTATTTCATTAACATACTTCATTGACATATTGTATATACAATGTAACATGGATGATATAACACAGCTTGAATATACATTTAAAATGTAATCAGAATATATATATCCAATGTTTAATAGTTTTCAAGTTAGAAGATTTATGTTTGATGAGCAAGACAACTTTTTAAAAAATATCAGTATTGTTTTAAAATGTAACTTGAATTGAAAATTTTGTTATTAACATGATTAAAGCAGAAATTACTCTCAAAATATACTTATAAATTGTTTAAAAATTGAAATTTAACCTATTTGGGTATTTTATTTATGATAAGAAAGAATCATTGACAGTTTCCGTTTTTTTCTAGGTGCAGGAAATGTGTCATTTCAGCCAGATTCTGGGTCAATGTTGTACAGCAAATCACACGAGAAACTATCTACCAGTTCTTCTAATACCTCCTTAAATAATCAATCAATTCATGATGGTAAGTTACTATGGTTACCAGATACCATCCAATAGTTTTGTAGATATCAATAAAACAGATTTCGGGCGTACATCAGTACATCAGTGAAACAGTAACACTGGAACAAAAATTAGAGAGTTTTTAAAAGGGGTTGAGTAATATGTAATGGCTCCCCTTGTATTCATATAGGCTAAATGGATTACCCATGATGTAAAGAGATGATGACTACCAACCATGTTTTGTGTCAGGATTGTGTTGTGATGATAAAATATTGTTGTTATGGGATACTATAGATACTCTTAATTAGGAAATTCACCCTTACAGAGTCATTGTCTACAGGAATGTGGTAAAAATATTCAGTAGAAACACATTAAAACATTTGTAATTATTGAATTTTTTTTCATTCTTTTTATTACATAGTTGTTACATCCTACCAACCGAAAACTCCACAAACAAATGATCCAAAGAAATTGGTGGAACAGATTCAGTTTTTAGAACGAGCATTTGATGTAAGTATGGAGTATGTCCCAAATAGATGTTAAATATACAGGCTTTGAATTGAAATTATAGTTATTCCCAACATTGGATAGTTTTCTGGTCTCTGTGTCTGTTTAAAATTGAGAATGGAAATGGGGAATATGTCAAAGAGACAACAACCCGACCAAAGAGCAGACAACAGCCGAAGGCCACCAATGGGTCTTCAAAGCAGCGAGAAAATCCCGCACCCCGAGGTGGTCCTCAGTTGGCCCCTAAATAAAATTGTGTACTAGTTCAGTGAAAATGGACGTCACACTAAACTTCAAAACATATAAATGAACTAAAATTAAAAAAACATACAAGACTAACAAAGGCCAGAGGCTCCTGACTTGGGACAGGCGCAAAAATGCGGCGGGGTTAAACATGTTTTGTGAGATCTCAACCCTACCCCTATACCTCTAGCCAATGTAGAATAAAGAAACACATAGCAATACGCACAGTAAAACTCAGTTCAAAAGAAGTCTGAGTCCAATGTCAGAATAGGTAACAAAAGAAACTTAAGCAAAATGACAATGATACATAAATGAACAAAGGACTACTAGCAGTTACTGACATGCCAGCTCCAGACCTCAATTAAACTGATTGAAAGATTATGTCTTCATCATATGAAAATCAAGTACAATCCCTCCCGTAAGGGGTTTAGTATCATACCATCATAAAATATATGAGGAGAACATAACCCGTATCATGCCAATAACTGGTTTTAGAATAAATGTGTTTATTTCCGATGCAAAGACCCTATGAGTGAATCAATATTAATACCAAAATATGCAATCCTTAATGACTTGACATCGGTATCATAACTATATCCTTTCCGAATAAGTCTGTTTAAAGGTTTGGTTAGCTTTTGAGGTGAATGCCAACATTTTTGTGCTTTGTAAAGAATATTACCATAAAATATTGGATGTGAAATACCTGAACGTATAAGATGTCTGCATGTTGATTTATATTTACGAATGATGTCCTTGTACTGATGATAAAATTTAGTAAATGTTTTGACTAGTTTGTGATATCGAAAACCAGGGTGTAATAATTTTTCAGTAATAAAGAGATTTCTTTCATTGAAATCAAATACATTGTTACATACCTGAGCGAATCGAACAAGTTGAGATATATAAACACCATAAGATAGTGACAAAGGAACGTCATCATCTAAAAATGAATAATTAACAATAGGAAATGATAAATCATCTCTTTTATCATAAATTTTGGTATTAAGCTTCCCGTTAAAGATATAGATATCAAGATCCAGGAAAGGGCAGTGTTCATTGTTAGTATTAGCTTTATTTAAAGTCAGTTCGGCAGGATAAATCTCTTTAGTGTACATACTGAAGTCGTCATTATTGAGAGCCAATATATCATCTAAATATCTAAAAGTGTTATTAAATTTTTGAATCAGATGTTGTTTCGATGGGTCTTTGCTGATTTTAGTCATAAATTGTAACTCATAACAGTACAGAAACAGGTCCGCATTAAGTGGTGCACAGTTAGTCCCCATGGGAATTCCGATAACCTGACGATATACGGAATCTCCATAGCAAACAAAAATGTTATCTAGTAAAAATTCAAGGGCAGTTATCGTATCAAAGCAGTTTGTCTGTTAGTTTTCCATCCTCTATCATGTTAATGTTTTTGGTAAAGATGGTTTACGATGAAGTTGTGGTCAAAATAACTATAAACTTATTACACATGTTCATTTTAATGTAAACTTTTAAAATTATATTCCAAATTACGATTTTGATCCAGATTTGATGTTTTACTGAACATGGTAGAGCAAATGGGCATAGTGTCTAAAGACATTACTTTATACAACCTTCATGGAATTTAAAGAAACTTTGACTAAAATCAAGTATTTACTGATAAATATCAAATAATTGAATTTCATAATTACTGTTTATTAATTAAGCAAATGGTTTAAGAATTTGAAAAGAAATTATAGAGTTCTCTTCTTTATAAAAAAACATGGCTGCATATGTTAACAACATTGTGGAATCAACATGTTTTTGCTTGTGTGTACATTTGTGCCACTGCATAAATGCATAATCTGTACCCCTGCCTAGCAGTTTGAATTTTAGAGTAAAAAGCTGAGGATTATACATGTCCAAATTAGGTAATAATAAAAATTAGTCTTACAGATTTATTGTTTGATTTTCAGAGAGCCAAGGCTAGTGGAGGCAGTAAGGTTCCTGTTGATGATACAGTACAGAGAATTATAAATGGAGAGGTATGATGCAAAAAAGCTTTAGAAGCTCTAGAGGTCATCATATGACCTTCAACAATACACAGGTGTCTATTCAAAATGTCACCGTCTAAATTTTCCTGAATCTCAACAACATTTGAATTAATTTAACAGATTCTTTTAAAGATCTGCCATCAAAACCGATTTCCAAAATGAAAAAAAAAAAAAAAATGTTTGGTTGTAACAAAAGAAAACCAATGATGTGATACCTTACTTTGGACAGATACATGAATATGTGGTCAAATTTTTTTTTTAAACTGACCCTCCTTTTTATCTTTGCCATCACTTGCCATCACTTGGCGTCCTTCGTCGTCCGTCTGGTGTATACTATTTCAAACATCTTCTCCTCTGAAACTACTGAACCAATTCCAACCAAATTAAATCTGAATGATGCTTAGGGTATCTAGAATAAAGTTTTTGTTTTATTTACTGTTTCGTCAAATAACATGGCCGCCATGGCTAAAAATAGAACATAGGGGTAAAATGCAGTTTTTGGCTTATATCTCAAAAACCAAAGCATTTAGAGCAAATCTGACATGGGGGTTAAGGTGTTCATTAGGCCAAGCTCTGTCAGCCCTGAAATTTTCAGATGAATCTAACAACTCATTGTTGGATTGCTGCCATTTAATTGGTAATTTTAAGGAAATTTTGCAGATTTTGGTTATTATCTTGAATATTATTAATGATAAAGATAAACTGTAAACAGCAAAAATGTTCAGCAAAGTAAGATCTACAAATAAGTTAATATGACCAAAATTGTCATTTGTCCCCTTAAGGAGTTATTGCCCTTGAAAGTCAATTTTTCACAATTTGTTCATTTAGTTTGCTTACTTTTAAAAATCTTCTCCTTTGAAACTGCTGAATCAATTTCAGCTAAACTTGGGCTGAATGAGTTTCAGAGTATCTAGTATTAATTTTGTATTTTATTTTCTTGTACGTCAAGAAACATAGCCACTATGGCTAAAATGAAACATAGGGGTAAAATGCATTTCTTTGATTTTGAAGAAAATATGACAGATACAAAGAACATTTCAATGGAAGTTTTAAGCCATTCATTAATATATATTGAAAAGCAAAAATAATCATTGATGAAAGATTTAAGCAAAAAATTACAGGTGAGCGATTCAGGCTCTTGAGAGCCTCTTGTTTATATCATTATTCTTCTGGCATTATATAATGTATATAGTAAGATCACTGATGTTCTACTTTCTATATAATACCATTTACAACTCAGTGATCAGAATTTTATTTTTTTACACAATGTTTTATAGCAATACAGTCTAGAGATGTACAAGTCAAAGGACGACAAATTTGCACTTTTAGATAGAGCTATAAAACTTCATGATGGGAATGCTATTACAGCAGTGAGTATAAACATACATCAGATCAAAATATTTGGAAATCACAATAAACAAACTGATTTTACAAAAAAAATATATTTTAGGATCAAGAATTCATACATTGTTAATTGTTAGGGAATAAAATTAAGGTCATTCCTTTCCTGATCTTATGCTTAATATTGCAGAGGTTTCTGCTAGCTTGAAAGTTGTTGATTTGAATAAAAGATGTCATGTATTAAGATTAAAACAAGTGTATTTCCTTTGAATACTTGCCAACAACAGTCTCAATTTAACAGTCCTCAAAATCATAAAACTAACAACTGCAACTGTAAAATTGTTCAAATGCAACTGAAACATTATTCTATTAAAGACCTATAACCTATAAACTGATAGTTATTTGCTGGAGTAATTTTAGTTTTAAATTGAATCGTATGCCATGTGGAGGGGTTGGATGGGTAAACTTGTATGAAATGGTATCTACCATCATAATAAATCTTTTATTATATTTCCTTCAACATATAGAAATATAAAATATTTTAACCTATATTACATTGTTCATTTCAGATCATCCTGTTTATAAAGAAAACAATAAAGCCCTCCATATTTAATCTAGAGTTACAGAGAAGGCCTGTAGCAGCTAATCATTTGATCAGTTATATGAAAGCTCATTATGACTTGAAAGAATTAGAGGATCTACTTGGGTAAGTAAAATGGTGGAACCTTATATGAAACAAACCACAGTGAACACAAGTACAAAATCAAACAGTGTGTCATTCTAGTAGACATGAGGGTTGAATATATATGTAATATTTGCTGATGGACATTTGTGCAGTCATCTGTCAATAATTTCTTTGTTGAATGTTCAAAGTTAAAATATTCCAATCTCATAAGCAAGTTGGATAAAAAATATGTCAGAAGTGAAAAAAAAAGACATATTCACACAAACTAATTATATTATTGAAATTATCAAAGAGTTAGTTGTTTGATTATAAGACTGCTGATCATTTTACTTTACTGCATTGAAGCAATTTACTGTTTCAGAATCTTATTACGTGTGGGTGATATTTTCAAAAACATAAGATAAAACAATGTGATTGCTCATCAACATCCTAAATAATTGATATCTAACCAATGGTGTACCACCATTTTCATTTTTGTGTATGAACAAAGAAATTATCCACAACTCTTCAGGCATCGGTACAGCAAGTTAAAAATGGCTGATTTATGAAGGAATTTTGTGCACATAGACCTCCAATATAGCAACAAAAGGGTAGTAAACAGAGCTATACAAATATTTGTTATTGCAGGATGTTAGGGAGGAATGAAGAAGCAGCAGTATGTATGATATTTTAAACTCTTGTTTATAAAGTGATTCTAGTAAACAATCAATTAAAGAAGGTCAGATAAATGTTTTTAGAGGTCATCATAATTGGAAATTCTTGAATACCCAGCCATACATTGAATGTTTCAGATAAAAAAAATATCGGATTTATAGCAAAGAACAATTTCTCCAATATTTTATTTTCCCTTTTTTTTAAATTGAGGGGGAGGGGGGGGGGGGATTTTCATGACACCCAACTGTATATACAATTTGTTCAATGAATACTGTTTGGCAATGAATTTTTAAGAAAATAAGATCTTGTGCTATTATTCTTTGCAAAATCAACTAGAAAACTATTTCATCAACCTCTTTCCTTTAGAATTAAGCAAAAGCCATCAGTCATTGGTTTTAATAATGGGCTTACAGGGAAAGCGCTGGGCTTTGCCAATGTCGCAAATTGCAATTTTTTATTTCATCTGACGACAAAGTATGGCTGCTGGCAATATTTTTGGCGCCGAAATTTTCATTTCTGAGTGGAACTGTAATATTATCCATCATCATTTAAATTGGTTAAAGCAAAAAAAAAAATTGTACGATATTTTACTTGGCAGCAAGTTTATGACTTTGTTTATGACCCCAAGCTAATCTATGGTTACAACAGGTGTCATGGCATTGTCATTTCATATTGAAGACATTTTCATACTGCAACACAATTTGAAACGTTTACCATAGTTTCACAATGAAAATGTAATTGACAGAAAGATAAAAACCATAATAAACTTGTTAAAAAACCTAGTTTTACTTGTATTCTGTAAAAAATGGTAAATTCAGATGTAATTTTTTACAAAACCGGCCACTGTACGCCAGTTCCGGGATAGGGTAGTTAGTTGGATCTGTCATTTGACTTCCATCACCAAGTGACCAAAATGTAGGCATCATCACTTCCAACACATGTTGAGCGAACAGGTGGAAAAGTTTGATCTCATTCTGCACAAAATATTTGGGAAATTAAAATCTAATAAGTTGGTCCCACTCCCTTCAGTCATACAGGAATTAAGATTATGTTCTTACGGAACATAAATTATTTCTAGACTACCCTGCAGAATGACGATTCTGAAAGTGCTTGAAACTTTAATAGTGCAGGGATACAGGCGCGCCTTCTGTTTAGTAAATGATGTCATAAAGGCGTGCAAAATTGACGATCTTTTCCCGTGAAAGATATGATTCGAGAAATAGCCTGATTGTATTCACTTCTACTGAGTTCTGTGTATAATCCTCCTCTGAAGGAGCACCCGAAGAATGAAAGATAACTCAATTTTATTTTTTCCTAGTATTGAGATATACTTCTGACTTTAGGACTTATAGGTTTAGGAGGTCTTTTGAGTTATGGGCAAAGTTAAGAGGGTCTTGATAGCAGGATGGGTAGGGTGTTTGGGTCATCATTTTCTGTATTCTTTATTTTTTTTACAAATTTTCACTATTCTGTATATTTAAATACCCATTATTCTCATTTCTTCATTTAATTGCCCATTTTTTTCTATTCTTTATTTTTTAATGTTTTTCTGATGTATTTAACACTATGCAATAACTACCTTAGTACAGTGCATAAGAAATTTAAATTGAACATGGTTTCAAATTTGGTAGAGGAAATCAAGACTAGCTGGCTCTAAAGTTGGCTCCAATTTTTCAAAACTGGCGACAAAATATAGCAGCTGGCAATTTTTTGGAGCCAGAGCAACCCCTGGCTTAGCTGTAATTTATGGAATCTTCATAAAAAGGAACATTTCATTCTCGTTAAAAAATAAATTGACCTGAAAAGATAGAGATTTGTTTCAATGGCATATACAGAAAATCTTATAGGTGTAACATTCTGAAAATCTGAACTCTACACAATTCATGGTAGTTTTATTACTTAAAAGAATTAATGTTTCAGTGATTGTTGAACTTTTGAAAAACACAAAGCAACTTGTTGACTTATTTTCATTCCATCACAATATTAAGTTCTGGTTTATAAATAAGGAAAAGAATTGATTTGTTGTTCTTTTATTTTGTTCAAATTTGTAAACAATTGTATCATTTCCTTATAATTAACAGATGTTGAAATATAAGCAAGCAGTTTCTATAAGTGATGCAGGTGCTAAACTGAAATCATTGGATATGTGTCTAAGGTGAGTATATTGTTCTTCCCATAATGATTTTAAACTGTTATTATATATATACAAATGAATAGTGTATGTCTTTTGTATATATACTAATAGCAAGAGTATAACTTTTTGTTCTATCAGTAGTTATAAAAACTTTATTCAAATAAGAATTCAAAATGTGGCTGTTTTTATGATTTATGGTCATTCAAACTCTAGGAAGTTTCTCAGCTGCATTTATTTCAGAGCTATAACCATTGATTCAATGAGATTATAGCCGAGAAACTAACTTTCATTTTTAGAACCTTTAATAATCTATAAAAATATTGAAAATTAGATTTAAAAAAAAAAAGGATTATTGCATTTATTTTTTTTTTGAAAAATGTAATTTTAGAATTTCAGTTTATATAGATTTTATAGGGAAAAGTCATTACTATGCAAAATTAGTCATTAAATTGAAATTAATTGTTGTGAAGTTATCTCCTTGTTCCAAATCTGATTCTTTGATTCATGACTAGGTTAGTTCTTAAATTTATCTTTAAAGAATAAGATGAAATGTTTTAGGCAAATGTATTTCCAAGATAAAAACGATTAATTCTCTGATTAGAATCTCAATGCTCAAGAGATTTGATACTGGCCTTCCAAACAACCATGTGCATGTGCAGCTGTATGCTCAGTTTAAACAGTCTCTAACTATGTTAAAGTAAATATAATAATCATGATCATAATATACTGAGAAAAAAAATTAAATGTAAGATTCAACTGGTCTCTAATTTTGTAGCTATTAAATACATGCAAATAGAAAAGAATATGTCTTAAATTATATTTTTCTTAGAATTATTAGGTAAGACCATTTAAACATTCGTTGTACCCATATTTCCCTAATATCATGCACAGTAACACAATTTCCACAGGAATTTTATGACACTTTAGAAGAAAGTTGCCTGTACTTCCAAATTTGGTAATTTCTTCCAGATTTTCATTTGTTGGCTTAGATTTATAACTGTGAAAACATTCAATTTGTGGATGCACAATTTTTACTGTTACCAGAATATAGCTGAATTGTGAGTTTTTGAATTCCAGACTTTACATTTGGAAATTTTTCATTCATTTAGTATTAACATAGGTTTTGATTAATCATAAAACCCATAAAAGTCAGTACCTATAGACAAAAATTACTTTGGCTTTAAAGTCAAAATTAAAAACTTAGTGGAAAGTTGCCTCCCAGGTCCATATTCAAAAACTGTGTTTGTTGTTTTGAGTACCCTTTGGATTTAATTGATGATATGTAAGTGTTCACTGACACTAGAAGATATGTTGTGCAAAAGATTTGAATCTGTAGTTGAAAGGTTAAGGTCACAAACTTAGTTGAAGGTTTCTAACCCTTCAAATTAATAAATCCTCTTCACTTTATACTTGAATAACCTTTGGCATGAATGTTGACTTCAACCAGAAGGTGATCTCATGCTAGCGATAGCATGCTTGCCTCGATTGCCAGGTCAGACCAAAGACTTGAAAATTGGTATTAGCTGCTTTTCAGTTAAGCACACTTTATTTAAAAGTAAAAGTCAGAATGATATATCCATGTAGGATGGCATGGCTTTCTGGGGACTAGAAGTAGCACACTAAAAATACAGTACAGCTTGTTAGTCTTGTACAAACTGGGGTTCATACTCATATCACATCCCGATATGGATGTAATATTTGCTACTTAACTTTAAACACCAATTCATTATCATCATAATCATACTACAAGATGGTGTGTCATACAAAAGATTTGAATCCCAAGGTCAAGGTTGTAAACTTCTCCTGTTTCCCTTCCATTTCTTATTAAAAACAATGTAAGACAATAAGCTTGGTCTTCATGAGACGGCTTCCATCTCAAAGGTATGTAATTAATGTCTATGTATATATTACCCCGATAGCTTTAAAAAAAAGTAGCTAGAGTCTTCAAAATTGAGTGAATACAGTTTTTTCTTCTTAGTCATTGCAACTACATAACACAAGTTATTATAATTTAGATAATTGTTCATAGAAATGTTTTAATTTTACAAAACCTTACAATATTACTATACTCCTACATTTACCATTTGCTTATCACTTTACTTTTCACAGCGATATTTTCCAATATTATTTAACTCCCTCAATATCTCAGCAGATCTATTTATAACTATTTTTGAGCTCTGAGTGTTCTTCTTGAAGGTTAATTGAGAAATGCACATCAGATGGAACAAAATTTGTGCCTTGTCTCAACTGCAAATGTTGCTGAGGCCATGACATGTGTATGCTTATTTTGCAGCTGTGATAGCATTAACTATTTGTAAAAAGAAAAATGTTTTTAAAGATAGATGAGCTATACAATCCATTTATTATACACGATTGTCTTATGTTCAAAGTGGTATATGTCAGTTGCCCTTCACTTCATTTTCATGGTCCATCACCTGAAAAAAAAAAACTCAACATTAATTTTGCATGGTAAAGTGATCCTTTAAGCTGCTTAAGATATTATATCTCATATTCTATTTAGAGAATCATTATCTTTTCTTGTCGGTCTTACAGGGGTAGCTAGAGTTTTTGGCTTTACTTTCATTGGTTCTTGATCAATGTATAATATTCATTTAATCTGTTTTTCAGTTACTCAAATTGTTACTTCTACTAAATTTGGTGTAAATATTGATGTAAATTTCAGAGCACACTTCTCAGCTAATCCACAGCTATCAGGTGAAACACCATTATTACAGGAACACATAGCATTATTAGAAAGACAAAGACCAATAGAGGTAAATAAGTGTTAAGTTATATGTGGATTTTAATTTAATTTAGAGACATTTATTCCAGATTATTCAGCTATTACCAATTAAGCAAGTTATACATTTCAATGCATGTACTCCTGTTTTTATCAATATTTTTAGATCAGTTTAGTTAAACCTGCTTTGATAATTAGAGTATGCAGTTACTTTCCACATTGTCAGATATTTGCACAATTGCCTTTTATGCTGTAGCTTGGATGACATATTGTCACTGACTGGAGTCAGCAGGTCATCAAAACTCACGGGGGGTCTCTTTCTATATGAAGGTATATACATATGTGCCGCTGGAATGGGTCCCTTTTTTGATATGTCAAATATATCAATGGGGTGCAATTTTACAGAGGAAATATATCAATAGGTAGTAATTGACCAATTGTGATATATCAATGGGTCATAATTTTTCAGTTTGTTGTGCAACGATCTTCACTGAATTTCCCAAACTCTTTATATAAATATATGTATAGGTAGGGATTTCACAATTATTCAATATATGAATGGGTGGTGTTTTTTAAATCCCAGCTGCACAACTGTACCCAAAATCCCATGTTGAGACCCCCCCCCCCATGTCAAAACTGTTTAACCTAGATAATACTTCTGCTGTGTTAAATATTCTATATCTACTATTTAAATAGATTTGGAAAAATAGCTTTGAAAAAACTTTGGTTTTTCTTGTCAATTAGGTAAAGTACATCCTTGATCAGAGGTGTAGAATATACTGTTAACAGTATTATATATTTTTTTCCAGTCGCTTAAATTCATATTAATGTGAATCCTAGTGTACATAGTTGCTTTTTTCATTACTATTACATTCTTTAGTTTTGACATAAAGTGAAAGTTTATTTTGTTTGTTTTTTATATTGAAAATAATTTTTGATTTGATTGAACTATAAATGATCACAATATTTTAGTGGATTGAAAGTTAAAACTGATGATTTGTTCATTTCCTGCCAAAATGGCAGACTATAAACAGTTCTGTAACAAATTTTGAATCTGGTCACATTGATACATAACTGTTAATGTCCTATATCCGTAAAATGATGAAACGCAAGTCTGGCATACAAAATTTTAAGCCTGTTATCTCTAATTTTTTTTATGCACAGTTTTGAATTTTTTATCACATTTAAAATTGAGTATGAGTATGGTCAGTGAGCAATAACTCACAGTACATCTTGTTTATGGTTTAATTTCAGGATTCTGATAAGAAAGCAGAATTAAGTGGAATGGTAATGATGTTTAAGCAATATCCACGTAAAGCTTCTATACTGAACATGTCAGCTGTTACCACACTTTACTATTGCTGTTTTTATCATTCCACGGAAGGGGAGGTAAGTAAAAGCCAATATTTGTTTTGTTAAAATAATACATTGGAAACTTCAGTAAGATAATTAAAAAGTTTTGTGAGCAGTTTATCTTTGCTAATTTTGCATTTAGGAAAATATTCCCTCATGTTTTGGATATATATATATATATGTAACAGAAAGATCAGAAGTAGGGATGAATTAAAAAAAAAACATGCAATATAAAACTTCACAAACAGGTTTGCACCTTAAATCTGGAAGTTTAACCTCTACCACTTTAGAGTAATTGAATATTTACCTATTTAAAAGATCTGAGAACAAGTAACCAACGTTTAATTTGTGTAAAACTGTTATTATTCAAGAAGTACATATTTCAAATGATTCCAGATGGGTTAATTTTAAAATTAGGAATTTAAAGTCCCACCAAAAAAAACAAGGTTTTTCACAAACAGCAAAAATTGATAATCACCAAGAAAAAACTTCCACATTACATGTATTAAAAAAAACCAACAGTTTGTGAAGAGTATGAATTGATTCAGAATTATAGAAACTTGAAATATGTTCAAGTCTTACAAGACAAATCTTTTTCTGAAATGTGAGTTTGTTAGTTCAGTGCTGAAAGTCAGTTTTCTGTGAAGGAATTGTTTTGTAGTTTCTGCTTGATAAAAAAAATATTCTATGTATTTCAGAATCATTTGGCATGTCCAGAAGCAATAAGAAAACAACACCAGGTAAAAAAAGTATTATTTGTGGAAAGGAAAGATTATATTATTGCAATTCCTTCTTATTGTAAAAAGGGAAATATTCTTATTTCCCTATTCCTTAAATATTTATAATTGTAAAAAAAGGAATGATGGGCAGCTAAAATTTAAAAAAAATCAACTTTAAAATTATGTTAATTATATAACTTATCTCTAGCTGTCTTATCAACATATATGTCACAGCTCCTTCTTTTCATATTCATTTCTACATTTTATTTTAATTTTTGAATATTAATTGGTCACATTTCTTTAATGAAAATTCATACCAAATATTGTTATTTTAGTTGACAGATAAGCAATTTGTATGGACAGCTTTATCTGCCAGAGCCAGGTTAAAACAGTGGAACGGTGTAGACGAATTACTAACAACAAAGGTAAGGGCTATTCCATTAAAATGTATGTGGGAGGGTAGGAAGGGACTTTCAAAATATCCCTACAACCAAGAACCATTTTTTAGATAATTTTGCATAATGGTAATACATGTACCTTAGAAAGGCTTGTATAGTTCGCACTGGTACATAGTCCGCACCCCCTTCTCCCCACGAAATTTTAGGTAAAAAAACTTTTTGTAACTGTTAGAAAAGGTCTAATGAAACTCCAGTAATTTCAAATCCTGTGCGGTCGTTTGCAGTATTTTCTTGGGAAAACCTGTTTTCCATCATCAAACAGAAGCTGAAACTGCTTGTAAATGATTCTAGAACGCTTCATGATTGTTAAAATAAGATTAATTCACTTAAAAAACAATTTAGAAACTTGTGTATGCTTAAACAGGAAGTTTAAAAAGCACGTGTAAAAGAAGAATCTAACCGGTGAGAGTCGAAATCCGTACATAACAGATATCACTATAATACGACTTTGAAAGTAAAACAGTTCCATCCTTTTGTAAAACAGTCTTTAATATATCTATCACATTAATGTTTGAAGGGTCTTAAGCTAATACAAACCATATTAGTCAGTATAAAACACCAAAACGAAACGAACAATAACCGATTACGTTTTGTAGTTTACAAATTCTAAGCTGGTTTACGGTTGTCTTTTTCACTATATTTGTATCGTGTCAATCAAGCAGATACCAGTTTATTTCAACCAATGCATTGAAAAGAAACGAGAAATTTGTAATGAAAGGTTTAGTTTTTATATTTATCAGTATTAATTTGATATTGAATAGAAATAACTTATTAATATGGATGAGTTAAAATTATTAGTTTGAAAAATGATAAGAGCGCCCTCTACAATATAAATAACAAAGATGGCGGAACGTAAACAAACCACCTCGCCCGCGAAATTGAAATTTTTCTCGTATTTCTTGCTTATTGTACTCTATAGTCCGCACCCCGTCTGGATGGTCCAATTTTGGAGAATAAAACCGCGGACTATACAAGCCTTTCTACGGTAGATGCATACTGAAAAAAGACCCATGACCCACATTAAATATTTAAACTTCCCTTCCTACCCTTCCACATGCGTTTTAATGGAATAGCCCTAATTTAACCTTTTGAACATAAAAAATGCAGACTCCATGCATGATTTCTATTTATGAAATATACATCATTAAAATTAATAATTATGATATCAAATTGGTATACTTCTCATTAAAATTTAACTGTTACCATAGTATAGAGGCATAGGATTTTTTGTGGTTAATTAATTTTCAATGTTTCTTTTATTTAAATAAAAACTTTTTCACATACTTCAACATATTGAAAATTTAGAGAAAGGAAGGAAAGGAAAATTTCCTCACCTTATGAAATATCAAACCTTACATTCATTAAAATGAGACTTTTCAAACTTTGTTGTCTGTTCTATGATAAAAATCCCAGAAATCAAGGAATGGATGATGCTTCATGGCATCTTTGAATTGTTTAGCCGGCTGCTCCAGTTGTGAATCATTGACTTTACATTGTTTGCTCATATTGCATAACTGTACGGGTAGTGAAAGGAATATAATGTTATCAGATGAGTCCTTTGATATTAGATCAGGTTTAATATGGAAATGACATTTACCCATACAAATACTGTTAGGTATATTCAGTCGGATTGATTTTTTCAATTTATCTAAACAAAGTAAGACAAATCTTTGTGGTTCTGGTTTATCTGATGATTTCTATTTTTATATTTATGTAATCAGAAATATATATGAATTATAAAGATTATCATAATTTTTTTTTTTCTAGATGAACTAAAGTTGTTTCATGCTATATAAATAAGAACATTTATTATGATTATTAAAGGGTTGGTTTGGTGGTACTAAAGCACGGGCTGTGATTGGTTTTGATCGTGTGTGTCAAATACTCAACCAGTGTAATGCACCATTAGAGGTAAAGTACTAAACAATTATTACTATAATTTACCATAGCACCAAGATTATTTGTGTAAATTCAGTCATTTAGAATTTAGGTTTTTAATAATGTGATGGATTTTATGCTAATTAAGGCCCCCCCTAGTGGCGGGTCGCCTTATAGTGATCAGTCTGTCCGTCTGTCCGTCTGTCCGTCTGTCCATAAGCAACAAATTGTGTCTGCTCTATATTTAGAGAACCGTTATAATTTCATACTTTATACTTGACATGTATATTAACCAACACCAGAGGGTGTGTTATAATGTTTGTACAACTTCCTAGGTCAAAGTTCAAGGTCAGTGGGGCCCACAGAGATGGCTCCCATCTCAATGATGTCTAGTTTAAATACCTCAACATTTTAATTGTCTTAAAATAGTACATCTTATATGGAGTTTCAGTATTCATTTCATTGACAAGTCAAGAAATAACAAGAAGGGTTGATACAGTGCAATGTGTTCCATTTCTTATGACTTATCTAATCCCTATAAAAGGGAGCTTACTGTTGCTTGATAATTTGCATAATGTAACATTTAACCATTGCTTCTTACAGGTTCTTACAAAATATCTGAAATTGATTGATAATACAGAGAAAAGATTAGATCTGGCCAGAAAGTTTAAATGTCATAATGTGGTTATTGAGGTAAGGAACTTAACAAATAGATTATAAATTAGTGTTTTTCTTTTTACTGGATGAAACATGTTTGTTTTTTTTTCTATAGCAATCTTAGATTGTTCATAGACAAGATCTACTTTAAAAAAAAAATAGAACTGATATGTTAATGATCGTGTTCAAATTGGGGCTTTAAATCAGTTTCACCATGTTTTGGTAGTGCTTTTTTCTCTACCCCTAAAAGAACACTTGCAATTGTATGGTTTTTCTATTGGTAGGGCAGACCCAGGGTTCTAGGAAAGGGTTGTATAAATTTCCATAATGGTGAAAATATCCCAGAGCACTCTGAGGTGAATAAAATGTTTACGATTAATGGCAAAGGATATTTTTTAGGATTGAAGCGTTTGCTCTGTACGCCCTGCCTGAATTGGCTGCTGTATTGTGTGGCAAATTTCTACTTTTATCCAACATACCATGTTTTTCCAGTAGAAGACTAAATTCCAAGGCTCATCCCTGTTCTGTATTTTTCAGGAAACTTCCTGTTTGATTTTTTGTTTAATTTGTTCTTCACTTCATCAGAAATATGCATGAAATGTTTTATACTGATAATTATGAAGAAAATGAGTCAATCATATGACAACAGTTTCAATTTACTTTATGAACCATATGAGGGACTTAACTGACAGAACCAAATTCGAAATAATGTTGCATTATGGGAACATAAATGATTTGATGTTCTGATTAGTCCAGATGTCATTTATGTTGACACTAATACTGTGTAACTACAAGCATGGAAGTTGTATAAATAAATTAAAGAGAGAAATTTTTTCAAATGTGCACCTGGTCAAAACACATCTTTGAGTTACTTTTGTCAAATTTTCATTTACATTTGAGATATTGGCTCAGTTGAAATAGGTGTGTATAATTTGCTTAATAAAAAATTATTATGTTTTTCATTTAAAATTCATGGGAGTAGAAATCCAGTATGCAATCACTACATTAACAATAATATTTTGTTTTAGACATTAGTGTCCATGAAAGATCGTGCACAATTAGACTTTTATGCAAGAAAATTACAACCAGGAACAGTAGAGGCAAGAAGTGCTGCTGGTGCTCTTAATAATTCTGTAAGTTAATGCTTCATGTAAAGTTTACACTCCATATGACGTCTGTCTTGGATTTAAAAACAACCCCCATTCATATATTGATTTATACGAAAATCTCTACCCATTCATATATTTCATACGAAAATCAAAACTCATTTATATGTATGTCAAAGATATGATGACATCTTATTTAGATTGATTGGTAATTTTTGAATTTTTCCTTAGATGTGTACTCGCTGATAATATCGGTATCAGTGGACTGGTCTTTAAAAAATTTTTTTTTGATCAGTTCACAATTGACATTCGTGATTGCACCGCGTAAGGATCTTCTCTTCCTCTCATTCACAAAATCGTGCAAGATTTTTTTTTCGCAAAAACGCACAAGTTTTTTGGTGAATGAAACACTTGTAATTGTATTAGTAAAGTTAGTTCAACTTTTTTGAACGATTGTGTGAAAATTTTAACAGAAAATGTATGAAAAACCCAATAAACTGAAAAAAAATTTGTGTTATCGGCAGTATTATTGATAGCTTTCCTTACTATTCTGATCTGAGTTTTTATTTATGAATAGTCTGGTGCGATACGGGTTTAGCTATGCGATATGTGGTATGCGATAAGGGTTTAGCTATGTGATACTGGGTATGCCATACAGGGTGTGCGATACAGGGTAGATGATACAGACTGGAGAAAAGAACCTTTATTAGATATACAAAATTTCTGTATTTAGTACTAAATATATGATATAAGAATATAATGGGGCATAGGGTTAAATGTCCATGAGACTGCAATTCAACAACACAAAAAAGCAAAAGATATCTAGTTGTCAACATAAATCTTCAACAAAAGATGGTTGGCTATACAATATATCAAGCTCAAAATAGTCCCAAGTGTAGATCAGTTAAGCTGTAGAAAAACATAATTGTCTGTGCAAAACAGTTAACATGTAATTGTTAGTTGTGTCTTTATTGTTTACTTTATATATATGTTAACATATTAAACAACATTAGACACAACAAGATCAGTTTGAAAAGTTAAATTTAAATAAAAATACACTTTTTTATTGTTCAGCCTTTGTTACTCTTTGTCACCAGATATCTGATTTTCAAATATTTTTTTTCTTTTTTATTTACAGAGTATAAAATGGAAGAATTGATGGCATCAAATGTGATATTTACTGTGATATTTTTTGCAATAAACATTATTTTGTGTAAACTTACATTCCAAGAGACTTCATTAATGTAATTAATAATGAGATAAAAACAATGATTGAAATGACATTTTATTGGAATACTGTAAACAAATGAATTTTGCAAATGTTACCAAAACTGTTTACTGTGAATGTTAACCTTCATAAAAAAATCCTGGTGATATTTTTATGAAGTAAAGCTGTCAAAAATTTGACTGGCTAGTAAGTTTCTGGTTGATGTGATTGAATAACCAACATTTAAGTCCAATGTTTATGTTTAGATCTGCCTCTGTGTTGTGTATCCCAAGCTTGGTAAAAATTTACTGCTATTTGCTGTTTCCCTGTCAAACATGGAGTACAGCAAAATCTGGTTAACAAGAATAATGAGCCAGACTTTGTTGATATAATACTTCTTGCTATTTGTGAGCTAGAACATAAAGAATCTGGCTCAGTGTAACTGCAGCCTGACAACACTAATGTTGTGAGTTTGAATCCTGCTTGCCTGCATTTGACTGATCTTAATGGACTAGGATTGCCATTTATCCTGCCCAAGGTTGATGGTTCTCTTTAAGCATCACAGCTTCCTCCATCAAGATAATCTGACCACCATGATATAGCCAAGAGTGCTGAAAGTGGTGGTAAACACTACAAATTAATAAATCAATGTAAGAGTCCAGATCAAAACAAGATTTATGATCATATCACATTAGCATGTTATATTTCTGAATATACCAGGCATATTTAATAATTGTCACTTTAAGGTCAAACATCCCTTGAATCATCAATCAAACATTGTAAACAGCAATGATTTATGAATCATATTGTCAATGCTTGCCAGTAATTTCGTTTAATTTAATCCGAAATAAACAAAATGGACAGACTTACCAAACAGAAGATGTTACTGGTACTGTATTGTTAGAAGTCAAGTCCAATATTTATGAAATGTAAACAATGGTTGTTAGTTGACTGCAATGTAATGGAATTCAATTCCTGTTGTTAAGCATTTACTATGAAGACAATATCTATGTACATATTATATTTTGCATTGTTCAAACTGAAAAAATAAAATGCAATTCTTTCTTCTTAATGTTTATGTGTGTATATTATTTTCCAAATGTAAAATTCAGATCTGTTTATCATATTTTTTTCATGACTGCTTAAAAAAAGAGGGGTATATAGTTTTTAGATCTATTTCTACATCTGTATCTCTGTCTGCAATGTTTTGATTAAAGTTATGGTTAAAGGTAGTTTAATGTGAAGTTGGTGTTATATGAACACGGAACTTCATCAGTGAAGACATTAAGATGTCAACTACTGTGGATTTATTTATTTTCGTGGGTACCGTTTTTCGTGGATTAAGGAAATCTTACATGTTCGTGGACAATTAATTTCATTGTTTTGCCGAAGTCTGCATACAGGCCTATAGAAAATTGTTAATCATTGAACATTTTATTTCGTGGTTCACCTGTACCCACGAAGTCCATGAAAATTGTTATCCAACGAATAATAATGAATCCACAGTAATCAACAGTTATGTCGAAAAGATGTTGTAACCTTAATTTCATGGTAGAGTGATCATGACTTAGGTGTTAATAAAGATAAAGGGCAGAGTTAAGGGTCAAGATAATTTGTTTTTGATTGTCAGAAGCAGATGTGCAAAAGTATTCAGCTTTTCTCCAAAACACAGTACTACCACCTCTCCACAATTTTTTTCCATTATTGTCTCCCTTTCAGGATTCTGGAATGGTCACTGTTCTGTTGATTTTTTTTCAAATGATATGGGCCTACAATACCATGATTGGTGACTTTTGTAATGACAGTTATGTGAACAATTTGTCTATTGAAATTTTAGGTATAAATTCTTGCTTGGTCTGTAAAACCTATTACTGAGTTATTTTTAAACAGTAATAATTTTATAACAATATATAAGTTTCATGAAATTCAAATAAACCATTTTAGGGGAGATGTGATGACAAAGGTGGGTAGCATGAAATATTTGCCACTGAACTTTAAGCAACCAACAATCAATCAATCAACAAAGGTGGGTACTGGCATTGGTCAATGTCCAAAACCAGGAAAATCTTATTGACCATGAACCACATTGGCACATTCAAATTTGTATAATGTCCATCAAATTACATGTAATCATGTAAAGAGTTTCGATAGCAAGGTGGGTAATGGACACAATTGATATGTAAGAATGTAAAAAGGCAGGGGGGCAATCAACCGCCATAATTTGAAGAAAACCATCATCATGAACAATAGAAAAACTTTCAACACACTAACAACAATCCACAAAACTCTACACAGAAAAAGAAAGATTGAGCAGCATAAACCCAACAAAAATCCACGGATGAAATAAGATGCTCTGTAAGGGGAAGTAGTTACTGTCCCACCAGTGGGACTTGTGTTGCTCATTGTGAGTAACCATTTGGTGATGTCACAAAGTGACAGTCAATAATAAGAAGATGAGATTGTGGCTACAACAGGTGGAACATATCTAAGGTCATCAATGACATATATTTTATAACAGTAAATCAAATCATGATGGTGTACATAAAAATGTCAGAGATATTTCAGCAATACAATTTGAAAACACCATTACAGTCTACATATGACAGTACCACACCTATAATGCTTTTATGAGTCATTATGTGACTTGTTGAACAGCAAGATTGCTGCCTCTCCCTAAAAGCCCTTTATTTCTGTCAAAATTCGGATTTGCTGCCTTTCTCTTTACATCAACTACTATGTAGTTCTAAATGATTTCATGTAGTTAGGGAGAACACCCAAAAAAGGACAATTTGTTTAATACTTCACCAAAATGTAGTTAAATCTAGCTTTCAAAAATGTAATAAAAAGTAAAGTTTACTTTGCTACAGTTCAAGATAAATGCTGTGCAAAATTCTCATATTTTGTAAAGGGCTAATTTCAAAATTGAGATTCTTTCATTTAATTATTTTTCTAGTTATATAATTGTGCTTTTCTTGTATATTCCTTACAAAACGTTTTTAGTGACATGATATTCTGATGGACGTTTAGTGTGTCGTGATCTATATTACCCATTTTGATAAAGGTTGAAAACATTTGTATGAATAGAAAAACAGACAGACAAAAAATCCCGTTACAATATATATAAAACTTCGTCTGCTGATGGAAAGTGGCTGGGTTGTAAGCATTATGATAACAATGGTTGTCACGACTGAAAAACTCTAGATTCCAATGGGAATAACTCTGGAAGAATACGTTGAATCCAAACATTGTTTGCTGTATTGTCCTATTGAGCAAACATCTTAGACGATGTAAGACGTTGATCCAGACACAAACTGTGTAGGAATATCATTTCTGTATTGCAGTCCGGTAAAATTAGGTGGATGGAACAAGTCACAACTATGACTCATAAAATTTAGTTTTTGTCCTCTTACTAAAGTCAGATCCAAAACAAGCACGGTCAGTTAATTGTCCCTTTTTGAAGGTATGCAGTTTTTTTACAAGTTGCACGATCAGGGAAAGTGCCTCAAATCATAATTCCCCTGGAATGATGGTCCTGTCAAAAAGAACTCTTTAAAAAGTAAAACTACCGTACAAAGCATCTCGGCAAAAAAAACCAATACCGTATAGACAACAAAAAAACTTACGGCCTAATTTATAACAATACAAATTACGGTCGAAAAACATATATGACAGACATGAACCAACGACAAATACTGCATTACAGGCTGCTGACTTGAGACGGGCACATATACAGAATGTGGCGGGGGTAAACATTATTGTGAGCGCTCAACCCTTCCCTAACCTAGGATAGAAGTGTGACTGCACAAGCTGTAAAAATCAGTTGGAAATGGCATAACTCAAAAGATCGGTACGAAGCACAAAAAAAAACACCAATTAACATAAAAACAATAGACACAAAGCACCGATATGAAACTAACAGTTACTGAAAGATAGTTCAAAGCCAAATACAACAAATAAATAAATCATATTTTCTCAGACTGTGTTTTACATACCATTTCCTACTGTATTGACTAATCTTTATATTTTTTGTATTACTATATCTGAATACCATTAATTCTATTGAGGTTTACCAGGAGTAATTCATGATGGCTCATACAGGTTTGAAAAAGTTATGATGGCTTTGGGTCTGGTTGTCTTTTCAAAATTTGCTATCTTCCTTATAATATTTATCAATATTGTTCGTTATGCATTTAAAAATATAATAACGTTTAGCTAATCGCTATTTTGCCACAAGCTACGATGAAAAGCGCATTTGATATGAGAGTTTGTTGAATAAGTCGTAATTTAAAAAAAGGCTTTGAAGTTTATATTTAAGAAATATTTTTCTCTTTTTGATCAACAAAGACTGGGGGCGAATGTTGGCGAAACAATAATGTTTAATTGCATTGTTTTCCTCAAAAAACGAGATACATTAATTTTATGAAAAACATTTTCTGAAACCGTCTAAAGAGGAATAATATAATAAGAAGAATATGATGATATGATTGACAATGAGACAAATTTCCACCAGAGAATAAATGACGTAGAAGTTATAAAACTAAGGGTCGGGCCCCAAACTAGGCAACGTTTCCAGTGGAGCAGGTTAAAATATATGCATTTACCATATACGTAGCTCCATAAGAGGGACCCGGCACACATGACACAATTTAGTCTTGATTTGATGACCATATATACACTGAAAACCATTTTCCTTTCACGTCCGGACATGTCGCAACCGGCCCTGGCGGTGTTTAAAAGAGTATTTGTTGACTACTTATTCATGTTCTCATTTCACTGTTAGGAATAAGAATTTCACATACTACTTACTGTTAGAAACACAACAAAAATGTAATCAAACTGAGGCCGGTCTCATTCATATCCAGTGTAAAATTTGCCGCGATGGCAATACATCATCATGAATAAATAAGTTTCGAGAAATTGTTGATTTATTTACTGTGACGGTGACAGCATTGGCGTAGCTAGGCGATTTTTAAGTGTACGCCCGAACCCCATCAAAGTGTTTTTGGTCTCCTAAGATGATCCAGGACATAGGGTCTCCTGATAGGGGTGAAGCCCCCAGGAAGTTCACGCGTTATTGAGAAAAAGATACCAATATCTGTCATTAGAAACTCATCATTAGCAACATACTTGGTCGGTTAAGAACAAAACTTTACGACAAAAGAGATGCTTTCAGCTTCCAATTGTGAACTTTTCTTTTCTATGTAGCAAAATTCCAGCAGCAACTGCATATGGAGTATATAACTCCCAGTGGATAAGACATTCCAGAGCTTGCATTTCCTATCATCATTTCCTTGATGGATGGTGCTGCTTACAAGGCAGCTACTGAACCAAGAGTTCCAATTGGTGAAGTTGAAATCATCCATTCGAAAATTTTACGGTCGACGTCACGAGTAGGTTGACCGTTATGGAATATCTGTTTCACAGATGGCTAATGACGACGGATATGTTCCAATTGTTGATATTACCACAATCCTGTCCTTTTTTCCTCGAATCCGGTGACCTACCAAATTAGACTTATCATTTGGTTTGTACTTACATCAGCAACACGACGGGTGCCACACGTGGAGCAGAATTTCATTACCCTTCCGTAGCACCTGAGATCACCCACAGTTTTTATTGGGGTCTGTTCCGTCTGATGTTTCTATGTTGTGTTTTGTATAATGTTGTTGTTCTTTTCGTAGTTTTTCGTTTTTTTGCCATGGTATTGTCAGTTTATTTTCAACTAATGAGTTTGAACATCCCTTTGGAATCTTTCGCATCTCTTTTAGAGTCTAATTTGGTTTTTTTTAATGTTAAATTTATCCATTGTGTTGATTTGTCATTTATTTAAGAGAAAAATGTCCTAATCAGTTGCTTAAAAAATATGTTTAAAAGAAGATGTGGGGTAACAATCAATCGACAAAAAAATCAAAACTTTAAAAGAGATAGTGAAAAAGCAAGTCTCCATTTCAATGTTGTCGTTCTATTCATTGCCTTTTTACCTTATCTATTTACTCACCTTTTTACACTCAAATTTCGTCAATGGACACATGTCCTAATTAATTTTCATAGATGATCAGGTGTAACGTAAAATAAATATTGAACTGTAACATAAAAATAATCAGTTCTTTTAATTTATTTGGGTTAAAATATTTTTTTCTTCAAAATTTATGTGCACGCCCGGGCGTTTTGACATAACGATGAAGCTACGCGCATACATTTCTATGTATTTTTATATCCTGGCTTAAGTTTCAAATGTTTGGATTTGTATTTTCTGATGAAGATTAATTCAGAAAAGCACTTCCGACGCATGCAATTTATAAAGTGTTATTTTCATTTATTGAGTACCGCACTGCTTCGACTGTACATGTACACGTTGACAAAAGGCATCCGGTCCTTCTCATGATTTTGTCTATTATTCTATACAAATTTATGAATAAATAAAAAAGGCTTTGAACTTATTCCTTACCCAATCTTCATATTTTGTTTATCTTTGATAAACTCAGAAACATTTGAAGTTTCTATAATTTTCATACTTTTGTTTAAACTCTTTATTTTTCATAATTCATTTAAACATGGACTTAATTCTCTTATGTCACAACTTACTTTATTCGTATCAATACTGTGACACCAAAATTAAAGTTTTCAGTTTATTCATAACCTCTTGAAAACTAATTATTTTAAAAAACAAAATATGTGTCAGGCCTAGGACATATTAATATATTGACAGTATAATACTGAGTCCCAGGTCTGACCACGTGCGTTCAGAAACTCCGAGTGAAACTGTTAACATTTAAAACATCAAAAATTATAATTTCATAAAAAAACGGAGACGAAATGAGCTTAAAAAAGTATATTATTATTTAATATATGAAGGAGAAATTAAACAGGAAATGACGTTGTCCAAACTGTACTTTAGAGCTTTGATTTTTTTGTCGCTGAAGAGTTATCGAACTTGACATAACAAATTCGGAGTTGTCTCCCGTTCATTTCCCTAGCAACAACAAAGCACGAAAATGGCTCTTCAAGATGATGGAGACAAACCTAAAAGCAAACGCATGTTTATTAACCAGGTGGATGCTTACCACGGAAAGAATTTAGCAAAGGTAAATGCAGATTGTGTAAATTTATGAAAAAATATTTGAAATCCAATAATTGTCATTATTGTTGGAAACTGTGCAAACCCCCCTAAAATGGCTAAATTAAAAAAATATTTACTTGTACATTTTCTTACTGATAGTGATAATGATCGTTGTGTACAATTCATCTATCAAAAGTTATCCCAATTTATTTGTTTTTGGTGTAAAGGTACCCAGGGTAGATTGGAATAAAGAGACTTTCCAGAACATTGAGAATTTTGGTGTATTTTTAAAATTCTATTGATTCCTGGTTTTGTTTACTATTGTTACGACTGTCATGATAATGAAGATACAAGTACATGTAGTAATGGTTCAGTTACAACAACTTACCAAAAGATTTCATAAACAATTGCATTATTTGTAATATGTGTATGCTTTTAAGATTGGGGGTTAATCTATGTAGCCTTAACATCTGTAATTTCTGCCTTTTTTTAGTGTAGGGGTCCCAACCAATATAGAGCTAAACTAAACTATCCTTACCCTGAAACATACCCATACCCTACCCTAACCCAGAACATCCCTGAACATAACCATAAGTTAACCCTTACCCTAATATAAAGGGACCCCTAAAGTAAACGCATGCTGTTATTTCAACCTGGGTACTGTTCCTGAAATAATACATTTTTATAGGATCCAGGACAACAGTGACCCTTTCATCATGATTAAAGGTTAGGGTACAGTATTGGGTTCGTTTATTTATGATATATTACACTAGTGCCAACTTTCGAAAATATTCCTCTCTTCCCTAAAATTTAAACCTTACCTACTTGCAATACACAAATCTCAAGTTGCTATTTATGAATGAGAAACACCAGTTGTCCAGAGGTCAATAAGCGTAAACTATGTTATCAAACAACTTCTTACTGTGAAGTAATAACAATAGTATTGTGACATTAGAAATTTACAGCACAGTGCACGATTGGAAATTCATCTTTTATTCTATATAAATTGAAACATAATAAGTACAGAGACTCCTTATAAAGTCATAAACTGTACATACTTGAGATGAAGCACTCTACAGTAAAAATTTGCACCTTGTTTTTCTTTGACTCAGTACTACTGTATCCAAATATACAAAATGTGTTTCAACTTGTAATTTCTAGAATAAGTAGTACGTTTAAATATTATCTAATTGATGCATACATGTACATGTACTGATGGTTCTATCTATTGGTTTATTCACCATCCATCATTCTTTTGTATTCTGATACTAAAATTTTTTTTATCATTGCAGTTTTTATCTAGGTGTGTAGTTGGTGCATCTTTAGAAGAGCAAGAAGAGGAAGATGATGCCAGATCAACTAGCAGTTCTATTATTGCACTACCTAAAGAAGGATGCTACGAAATTGTTGGTACCGTCAAAGATGCAGAGTCACAAAAACCAGACTTTGTTAAGGAAGTCGTCAATGTTAGTAAAGTACAAAATGATAGATCTTGTAACACAAACATTTTATCATTTGGATATAAATCTAAATTCTCACAAATGCAAACAGCAATTTTCATACAAGAAAAAAATGATGTTTTTTGTCTCTATGCACTTATAGTTACAATTTTACAAAATATCATGCTTACAAATTAAGAAATTTGGATCTTACAGGTATTTGTCCAAAAAATCGTTTTATACAATAAATCTAAATTTGCAGTTAGTACATATACAAGTAATTCCAATTAGATACTCTGTTACTTATATATAGAAGATAAGAAAGGTCTTTTGTAAAAAATTATGTTTTGCATAGAGTTTTGGTGGATGCGATAATATATTTCCATGTTTATTTAATTTCAGTTTGAGAATAAGGACCAGTTATATGAACAGCTAGTAGAGTGTGATGTGATTGTATATGATATTACACAGGACCCTGACCAGATAGATGAGGCAGTCTGGGCAGTATCAGGTATGTGTTAAATACACATGGGATGGATTTAAAGCAATGACTTCTCTGGCAGTAACTTTTCAAATACCTTGTTGTGGTTTAATAATTTTTGGAAGCAATTTGTAGTTATTGTTATAAATTTTGAATGTAAACCGCTGAACTTGTTAAAAAATGATTTATCAACTACATTTTATTTTATATTTTTCAGAGATTCATTCTGACCTGGATAAAATAGAGAAACCAAAGATGTTCATACTGATATCTTCTGTGATGACTTGGGCTAAAAGTAAATCTCTAGATCCTGTAAGTATCTATTGGTTATTACTATGGTGATCAAGCAAAAAGTAAATTTTCATACCCTTTTTGGTAAGACTGTAACTATGGTGTTTAAGCTCAATGTTAATTTTAAGAACTTGCAAGTGGACCATTTATTGAGGCTTTCAAGCTTTGAATGTATTATTGTCCGTTTTGTATATCCTTGCAAAAGAGCAATTATGTTGATAAAATTGGTCTTGTATTCAAAATAGATACCGGTATGTATATTTTTAAAGATTACATGGACAACTTAATATAGATCGTAATATTTTTATAGATTATATAGACTCATTAAATGGGTAAAATATTGAAAGGGGAAAGGGAAAAGAGCAACACACAAAAAAGTTATTTAGTGATAATATTTATGTACAGTATAAATTAATATAAGATTTGTAAGTAAAGTTATCCATGTATCGCCATATTGAAAAATTGAATATTATCAAAGATGCAAATGATTTTTTTGAAAATAAAAACTATTTGGTTGTAAATAGGATGATCCAGAGATTCCCTTCACAGAAGATGACTACAGAAGGAGGAAACCACACCCTAACTTCAAAGAACATATCAGTGCTGAGAAAACTGTTATCAAACTTGGCAAAACTGTAAGTTGTCATCTAGGACCTTCGAAAAATGAAATCTATTTAGCTCAACAATATATATTTTCACTTCTCAAGAAATTTCCGGTAAAATGATCAAAGATTGAATTGTTGATGCTACTAAAGCCTGAATGTTTGTTTCAATTTGTATTTTATAAATTTATATTCTGTTATAAAATATATTTTAATTTCTAATATGCAATTCCCAAATGAAACATATTCTTTGTCAAAAGTGAAATTTTAAACTTAACTGTAGTAGAATGAACGTGTGTTATGAAGTAGAAAGAATGTGTTATGAATAAACAAAAATGCATGACAAATAAATGGTTTTGTTATATTTTCTAGAACAAAGCTAAGTTGGTGACATATGTGGTGGCTTCTGCTTTGACATATGGTGCTGAGGAATCTATTTTTCATTACTTGTTCAAAGTAAGTATTTACTTGTATTCATTATTAATCATATCCATATTAAATTGTTTTACAAAACTTAAAAAAAAACACCATATTAGTACTTATTGTTTTTTTTTATCCTTTGCTATGTAATAATGTTTTGTTGGTGAAAGCAAGCATAATGTAATATATATTTGTATGATAAAGTTATACTTAGATATAATTGTGTAAGATATTGTATAATTATGTATATCTACCACAGTTTTCCTTTCTTTTTTTTGTAAACATTCTAATAAATAAATCAATTAATCAAACAATACATCATTATAAAATATATGTAAAAATGTTACTGAAAAGGGATTTTTTTTTAGTTTGATTGAGTTTTGATTATATTATATACCACTTTATTCATTTTTACATTTGACACTTTCAGTCTGCCTGGCACAATGCACCACAACTTTTATGTTTTGGAGATGGACAGAATGTCATACCTACAATTCACATCAAAGATTTAGCAGGGTAGGTATTTTTGATGGTTCAATTTCCTTTTTTGTCTATATTCTTCTTTTATATTTTAAGCATATGAGACAATTTATTATTTTCCTGGTTCTCCATCTTTCTTTGTACTATATATGCTCCTTGTGATATACTCATGCCTTTATTTTACCTCCTGATAGCAGCTTAAAATATATTTGCATGTAAATATAAATCAAAGCTTTACACTATCGTTGTAATTTTGTAAAGTTTTCTTTTTGGTTCCTTTGCCAGGTATGTTCTGAGACAAATCTTTTGAAATTTTGAAAAGCAAAAAAATATAAATAAAAAGCTGGCAGCACAAAACCCATACACGTCACATCCAAAAGTTGACTAAGGTCTTCCTTATCTGCAGTTATTAAAACATGATCTTATTTTGGATATCCCCTAGATCGTTGAGTATTTGAAAAACTTTATGATTCATAATGATGGGTTTAATTTTTATAGCAAGAATTGCAAATACTGAGAAATTTTTTAAACTGTTTAATTCAATATATAAAAAAGATAAACCAAGAATAGTCATTTTAAACAAATGCACCTAGGAAATGATTATGTCAAGAAGTTAAAACAAAGTATGTCCATTTTCAGGGTAATCCAAAATATCTCAGATAGTCGACCAAAAGTGAGATATCTGATTGCAAAGGATGATTCCAACAATACTCTGTTTGAAATTGTCAAGGTATGTATAATTTATGATATTTTATAACAGAATATAAGTTTATAAAACAAATTAGTTGCGTTATCCAGCTTATTTGACATGTAAGGTGCAAATTTTAACCTTTTATTTACCATATTTACATTTTTTAAGACTTATTTGAATGTCAATTGTTGGTTGAATTTGGCTCATTTTTTCCTGTCAAAAATCTTCTACTTGATAACAGAACCTTCCCATGCTGTGTCTTTTTACGAAAGTGTAATCTTGATACTTGAATTTCAGAACTGTATGCATATTTTTCTATAATTACAGGCTGTTAGCTCAAATTTGGGTACAGGAAAAGTGAAATCAATCACCAAGGAAGAGGCTTTGTTAAATAAAGATATTGAGGTAAGTTTTAAGGAAGATTTGTTTTATAATGTACTATTATCATAATTTTTTTAAGTTTTTATTTGTAAAATCCTGAAGTTTGTATACAAATACTTTTATTATTATTATTGATGTATAGAAGAGACATTCATAAGTCTGATTTTTTTTTTAATTAACAGCTTTTCTGATGTATAAATCAGTAACAGTTGCCTGTGAAGCTTTCCATAATGTTACACCATGAACAACTAGTCAAATTATGAATTTGGTTCATTTTTGCAGAATTTGATTGATTGAAGATTTAATTAATTTAAACACATCTAAGAGAATGGGAAAAACTGTTATTGACAATGTCACTCAGATCATTTTAGAATGTAATCACTTTTGCATTTAATTTTCAGCAAGCAGACTTTGACATGTTGCTAGTAAACCTTAGAATGGATGCTGTTAACGTAAAGGAAAACATGAGAATCAGTTGGGTTTCAGAATCTGGAATGGTAGATAACATCATGCAAACCATCAAAGAATACAAAGATTCAAGAAAACTGCAGGTATTATTTTCAAATGATGTGAATAAAAAACTTGATGACCTTTCAAATGATCATATTTTATAGTCAGCCATGATCGGTTTAACAAGAGAGTTGTATTTAGCAAATACATATGTAACATGTATTTTTTATTTCTTTAACACTGTTTTCATTTGCATATAAAATGCAAGTTGAAAAGCTTTCATTCTCATTGCATAGGTTATTCTACTTGATATGGACAATTGAATAATTAATTTTATATGCGATTTATTGTTTTGGTTAAATTTTCAAATTATTTCTTTTCAGCCATTGAGAATCTGTGTATTAGGTCCACCAGCTTCAGGAAAGACAACTGTTATTCAACAGCTTTGTGAATTCTACAAGTTACATCATATCAAAATCAAAGATGTCATTGATCAAGCTATTGATGATCTGGTAAGAGATTTAAAGTTACAAGTATCTATATAACTGCTACATCTTGGAAAAAAGTCTAAAATAAGTCTTATAAATTAAACCCCAATGAAATTGCAACCCAACAACAAAAATAACTAAAGACATCTATAGGGCAACTTACAGTGTCTGTACAATATGTCAAGCTATAAATTGTCTTGACAAGTTGTGAATTAAATCAAACAGAAACTAAATCAATGATCTGCCATCAAGACCAAATGTTTGACTGTTTTCAGAAAGCCCAGGCTCGACGTGCAGATACTGAGGAGGAGGGTGAGGATGAAGACGATAACAAGGCCCAGGAAGCACAAGAATTACTGGATCAGATCCAAGAGGAAATGGCTGGAAATAATAACAAACTGACAGATTCTAAAGTCTTGCAATTTTATAAAGAAAAATTACATTCCATGCCATGTCAGAATCAAGGTTTTGTCTTAGATGGTTTCCCTAAGTTGAAAGATCATGTGGAGAATGAAGAAGATGGCTTGTTTAATGGTAAGGAGTCAGAAACTGCATTCAATATGGTTTACCAATCTCAATGTTGTCATCAAATTTTCAAAATCTATCAAGCAGTGATCAAATTCTGTAAAAATGAAAGACTACTGTAAGTGTTTTAAACTTTCGTGAAAAGGTTTTCAATTGGAATTCAAAATGAAAATGTCTTGTCGCAATATTTAGGTTTTCTGTCAAGTGGGTTTTACAGATTTACAAATGCATGAAGGCTGCAACAAAGAGCATCAAGTCATGTCGTTTTTGTAATTTTTTTTTCACTCATTTCAGATATGTCATCATAATCAGTTGTTACATCTATTTAATAATGATGACTGTGTGGTATTTGACATCTAATTTAGTTGATAATTTTTCTATCCAGTATTTTCAAACATTAATGCCAATATTGAAATTCCCTAGTATTTGAATTATATACAGTTGTTCTATTTCTCACAGGATAGCTTATATTTTTATTTTCAGTTGAATTTTAAATTAGTGGAACTATTTTCTCAGAGCTTTGCATGATTTGTCAGGTTAATTTTGAATTCAATTTCCTTAAAATTTCCTTTTTGTTAGCTTGTATAAAAATAAATAAATAAATAAATAATGATCATATTACTGGTGTATTAAAAGTTACTGAATGGCGATTAAAGCAGTCAGCAATATTCATTATGAGAAAATTTGTTTTTTAGCCACAGATGCAGAAGAAGCAGAGGAAGCAGATAAGGAGGGGAACTATGATAAGAAATTAATGCCAGAATTCATGTTCTGTTTGGAAGCCACCGATGAGTTCTTACGTAACCGTGTGATGAACCTTCCTGAAAGTGTGGTACATGGTACACACAACACAGAAACTGAACTAAACAGGAGACTGAAAACATACAGAGACAATAATGATGAAGAAAATACAGTTCTGACATATTTCGATGAACGTGAAATTGATATTGTTAAAATAGATGTAACTAAAGATGATTCTAAAATGATGAGAGATACAGTAGAAAAGATGAGGAAAGTAATTGGAGGAGCAAGGAATTATGGTACGTAAAACACTGCATGAAAGTCAGTAAACTAAACTTAAAATTTAATTGAAGTCACTAATGATCAAGAAAACAAATATTCATATTGTAAAGTTCTCTAAAACAAAGCAGAATTTTAGTCATTTTAGTGTACTTAATAAAGGATTAAAGGATGAAGGAAAGTTGGAATTTATTTTATTTATTCAGTCTAAAGTAATCTACCTCTTTTGAAAAACATACACTAGCTTCTCACTTTTGTCAACAGCATTAATTATTTTTTGTTGATTATTGAAAAAAACTGATCAGCAAATAATTTCAATTTCAGGTCCAACACCTGAAGAATTGGAAGAAATGAGACGACAAGAAGAAGAAGCAAGACTTAAAAAAGAAACTGAAGAAAGACAAGAAAGAGAAAGAAAAGAAGCAGAAGAATCTAATCTTAGAAAACAAAGACAAGAGGAATGGGTAAGATCTAAAGCTTACAAATTTTGTTAAAATTTAATTGAGGGTTGAAAAGATCACAAAGGATTTGGTTATAGATTTGAATAAAAGGAAATGTTTGGTATTTGTCAATGAGGCATCAAAACAACAACACAAAAAACTATCTGGAAGTCAACAAACAGTCTTCAACAGAAGTGTGTCTGCAAAATGTCAAAAATCTGTTCATGTAATGATTTTTAGAATACATGGTCAAACATTTGCACTCTGTTCTGTGTTTTTTTGCCATAAATGTTAAAACGAGCAAATGACTTTGACATTATAATTAAATTGTCACTATGGACAAAAGATCCAAAAACAAGATTAATCATGAATAAATCTAAGGGTTAAGAATTGGAATTAGTTTATCTCTATGGAGAATATTTCATTTGACCTGCCAAAGCATGTTATAATGTTTATCTAAATATGATGTTAAAAATGAAACATGTACACATATGAAATCTGATCATAGTCTGGATATGTTCACATTATATTTACCAATATTACAATGGACCATTTATTTTGAAGTATTGTATTGTTTATTTTTCAGACATCAAGACTAAATGAAGTTAAGAGAGAAGAGTATGAATTATTAGAGGCCCAATCAATACCACTAAGGAATTATTTAATGAAACATGTAATGCCTACACTAACACAAGGGTTAATAGATTGTTGTAAAACTAGACCTGATGATCCATTAGATTATTTGGTAAGTTTATATTGTGTGTATTGTCCCCAGAAGCATGGCTTCCAAAACGGTCAGTTTTTTTCTGATCATGACCTGCAAATTCAATCTATGTACATCTGAATTTCAGTTTTTTAGTAGACTTTTTTTTTAGCACAGACACACTTTTATGCTTTTAATAGTGACATGAGAATTTATTACCATGAACATAGACCCGTATAATATATTACTTATCAAATACTCCCTCAAAATAGTTATTACAACCAAGGTAAATTGGTTGTCTGACAGCTGAGTCTACCTGTTTACCTGACTGGTAAACTATAAACAGACATATGTAAATCTTTTAAAAAAATTGTCTCATGTTTAACTGTTTAGCGTCAAATTAATATAGCAATAAATTTAGTTTGTCAAAACAATATTTTAAATGATTTTTGTAAAAAGTTTTTTTAGTTAAAAATTGACAGAACCTTGTTGCTCTCAAAAAAGTGTATCACTGCAGGTGTGAAACTTAATTATACACAAGAAGGTTTTTAAAAGGAAAAAAAAAAAGCAAAGTTAATAAGTTTTCTTATGTTCTCCTCAAGCATTTACATGAGGAAATAACATGGAAGGAACTACTTACACTGAGATACTTGACAAAAATGTACAAAAGAAGTTTCACATATTCCATGTTTGTTCTGAATTTTATTGTTGTCAAGTCAGCAGATGGTTTTTAGAAAAACATGAGCTATGAAAACAAAAACTTTTTTATCAGTGTTATTGCGTATATAAAGAGTTTAGCACAAACTTAAGTCAGCTGGTGTTCCACAATTCAAGCAATGTACTGTCAGTTAAAGGAAATCCTATAAATGTATGAGTTACTGACAGTTTCAGGCATCCATATCAAAAGTATAAAGTAATCATTTTCATGTGTTGTGACCAAATTCATGTTTCCTTGATGTCCCAATGGTTACCTTGATTGACTTGAGTGCATTTAGGTACAATGTCTGTAGAAAATAAAAGTGGGATGGGAATAAAAATATCCAGCTGGTTTTTACATCGTTAACCTCAATTGCAAAATATATTCACATGACAACCCTTAAAAAAAAGTTATGGATCGAGAAGTCTTTAAGACACAATGATTAATTATATTTATTTTATGTCTCTAAATTCAAACTATTGAAAACCTAATAGTTATTATGTTATAATAATAATATATTATTTCTACTTTCAGGCAGAATATCTGTTTCAGAATAACCCACAAGTGGACTGATACACTGCCTATTGACAAATGACTCTTTTAATTAAAATCTGTGATAATTGTTATAGTGCCTACCATTTAAGCATTTAGTATGGCACACTTTTACTTCTTTACAGATATTTATTGTTTGTTTACTTGACAGAAATATCATTCCATGAAGCAATGTAAAACCATCTCTTATGAAATGGTTATTTTTGAAAAAAATTATAATGTTATCAAGATATTTCACAATTAGTTTGTATTTCTGTCATGTTCCGTTGAAAGAAAATTTGAAAATAAGAATTAAGTTAGAATATTATTTATTCATCCAAACATGTTGTGTATATAATGTAAATAAATATAACATAATCTGTATCAACTATTGTCTATTCAGTTTTCGAATTAAGTCAAGGTCCCTACAATAATCAAACAGGTACTCATGAGTTTTCGGCAATGACACGTGACCAATTTTGATAACTTTCTCTGTAATTATGTAATCATAAGAACCAATGTAGGATAAATTCATCATAGTTGTCATATCAGGATTAAAATTTTTGTACACCTGACACACGATTGTCTACAAATGACTCATCAGTGACGCTCAAATTAAAACAGTTAAAAAGGCCATATAAAGTACAAAAATGAAGAGCATTGAAGACCCAAAATTCCAAAAGGTTTTGCCAAATACAGCTACAGTATTCTGTTCCTGGGATGGATGTGACGGTCCTTTATTGGTTCATTTCAGATCATGTCATAATCACAATTTTAAGGTAGATAGGATGTCTTCCACCATCTTGGATTATAAAATAGCAGAAAGCAATCAGTCTTCATCTTTAATGGTATAATTCATTTGAAAGAATTTTTATCTAAATGAAGAAGATTATGTGATTTATCTTATTTTTTTTACCTGTTTTTACAAATACAGAATATATTTTGTTTGATGCAACTTTTTTCAACTTTGCCATATATAAGAGGAGATAACTAAGATGAAGTAACTTTAAAAAGGAATGTTAGGAATTTACCTATTTTGTATTGTAGCAAGAAAACGAGTACCGTGACTCAATTTTTTCTTTTCATTTTTGGTTAGCACATTATAAGAGGTATCTTCTCATATTTAATTTTATTGTTTAGTTTTCTTTCTATCACACAATATTGGGTTTTTCATGTTTAATCTCTACACATTCTGACAATTTTGCACAACCTGTAGCTTGAAAAAAAGCCTGGTGACTCATTCTTGTTATTATTTTTTTGAAAAAAGCATGATATTAACTACATTCTGGCAAATTATTAAAAAATTCTATGGATTTTGATTTAGACCCCTCATCTACCTTAAGAGAAATTATTGAACTTTTTGCACAATATTTACATACTTTCTATAAATCAGTATCTTTATTTGTTTTTATGTTATAACCACTATATGCCTGGTGGGCAGGAATTTATACAATTTTTGTTTATATATATATTCAGATGCACTTCCATATGCTTTAGTTGCATACTAATTATTAAGATCAAACAGATAGCCTTTTTACATATTTAAAAGCATAAAACAAAAACAGCTGATACACATTACTCATACTGGAAGATAAAACTGTTGACACAAATATATGTATCATCTGCTCTGCAGCCATTCCAAAACCAAGATTTGATAAACTGCCATATTATTACTGTATGCATATGGGAATGGACATCAATATTTAAGTAGTTCTGAAGCTAATCTAATCATAAACATAGCTGTGCTATGCATACACCATTTGTTATTGAAAGTATCCAACAACAGGAAGTAGGTTTCATACAGATCCAAAAGAGGCACACACATTACAACTGATCACTGTCAGGCTACTCACCAAAAGTACTGCTTGAGAAATAAATTGCTCCGCTGGGCGCAGCTTGATACGACTGCAGAGGTCGAACCCTGAACAGTTGGGGCAAGTATGGACACAACATTCAAGCTTGATACAGCTCTGAATTTGGATTGTGATTAAATATTTGACACAGCATAGGTTAATGACACAGAATGAATGTGGTCTAAGAACTTAAAAATTTTGAATTTACCTATTATGGTCCAATATCCAAAATCTAAATACATACACGGTTAGATTCAGCATATCAAAGAACCCCAAGAATTCAATTTTTGTTAAAATCAAACTAAGTTTAATTTGGGACCCTTTGGACCTTAATGTAGATCAATTTGTAAACGGGACCAAAAATTAAGAATCTAAATATACGGTTAGATTCAGCATATCAAAGAACCCAAATATTTCAATTTTTGATGAAATCAAACCATATCATTATTATTTGCTTTAATATATAAATCAAAAATAACCAACTTAAAATGGAAAATTTTAAAGAAAAAAAAAAAGGAAAAAAAGGGAAAAAAAAAGGAAAAAAAAAATCCCCCCCCAAATTTTTTGAACCCCCTTATGATTCATCACCCCCAAACTCAATCCCAGTCTTCCCTTTGTGGTATGGTACCTTGCAGTACAATTTCAGAGAGATCCATACACTTGAACACAAGTTATTGTCTGGAAGTTACAAAAATGCTTATTTTTGGCCCCTAATTCCTTAAATGTTGGTACCATAACCCCCAAAATCAATCCCAACCTTCCTTTTGTGGCATTGAACCTTATGGTAAAATTTCATAGAGATCCATTCACTTAAACTAAAGTTATTGTGCGAAAACCCATGTGTCTTCGGACAACAACAATGCCGGACAACGACGACAATGCCAATGTCATACCAATATACGACCGCGAAAATTTTGTGCGGTCGTATAAAAAGTGATAAAAAATTTCAAATTCATTCAACATATTGAAAAAATCAAAATATCAGCAAATAGAAAGATGGTGTCTGACAGATCTGGAAAGTGTTCATACTTTACATCTCATTACTATCAAGCTGCTGACCAAATATAAAGTCATTCTTTTAAGTTGTACAAGTGTGATGCAGAAATGTATGCTAATTCAACATACTGAAAAATATTGTATATTAGCTATAAAAGACCCTGCATGACAAAATTTGAAACAATTCAGAAGAGAACGACAAGTCTGATTTATGTTAAAAACAATAAACGAATAACAACAGACAACAACTACTGGATTCCAGATTCCTGACTTGTTAAAGGCATATAAAGACAGTGGCAAGGTTAAACATGCTTATTGAGTGCTTGACTCTTACCTGAATAGGGCTTGTATCTAGCTTTGCTACGTTCGTTGCTGGCGATACAAAATAAAGAGCTGTGCCCATGAGGGTTTGATATGCCCGTCACTTTTTCAACGAATAAAGTTCCATAACTCCTCAATGTCATTTCAGAAATTTATAAAAAAAATAAAGGGAGGTTATTTTAATAGATATAAACCAGTCATCAAAGTTTCATGAAAACTGCTCAAAGCACTTTTGAGTTATTGTCCAAAAACTGGAAAATCCCATAACATGGAAACATAAAATCCAAAATTTATAAAAATCGAAAGGGAGCTTACGTCAATAGATATAAACAATTCACCAAAGTTTCATGCAACCTGGTTAAAGTGTTTTTGAGTTATTGTCCAACGTTGACGAAAGACGAACGGACATCAGTATACCATAATAAGTCCTGCAAACGGGCGTATAAAATTTAGAGCTTGAAATACTCAGGATTTTTTCCAATTAGACGGAGAAGAATAAACAACAAATTAAATTAATTTGTAATTTTATTTAAAGAGTAAGTAGCATACTTGTCATGAAGATAGTATAAAGAGTAATGACAAAGTACATCTAACAAGGTACTAGTACTACATGGCTACTAGTTCTTTTCTAAAGACAGTTACAAGTCACAAAAACATTTGTTGATATATTTACAAGTTATATTTTCCAAAATAAAAAAAAAAAGTGTTTTTATATGTACTTATCAATACATACAACTTAAATTACAAATACAGCAACAGTATAGCCATACTATATTTTCTAATTAAGTAATTTCTTGTAACAAATAATTTGTTAATATTATTTCCTTGAAAAGGGAAATTTATTTTGACAAAATTTGAAAGAAATTTAACCTATAACTGTCACTTAAAATACACTAAATATTAAGTTACTTGTACATATATTGCACCAAATACACTAGAGAATGTTCAGTGCTGTAAAAAATTGTTCATTCATAAATACTGATACAGAAATGTTTTTAATTTCTTAATCAAACTGATCCACATTCTATATAACAGATCTGTTGTAGTCTATTGACAAAATAAATTTTGCTGATTTTGTTTTATTTCATATGATATTGAAGATATTTAAACATAGAATATTTCTTTTAAAAAAAAAGACAAAAATTCACTTATAACCAGGCTTCGAATCCATGGTAGTTTTACATATTTTAAGTTCGAATCCATGGTAGTTTTACATATTTTAAGTTATCTCCCCTTAAACTACTTCTTAGGTTTTGACAAGGGAGACAAATTAGTTTCTTATCATGCATACACATCATGGAAGTTAGCTCATCCTGAAATTATTTAACAATTCAAACAAAATATCTATAAAATAAACAAACAAACAAGAACTCTAAACAACATTTCCATTCAATGGAATGTAAAATTAAAAATAAATTTAAAAAATTCCAGGAATGACTGCATACTTGGACTATATAACAATTTAGAATATCCCAGATAATTATGATCATGACATTAAAAAAGTAATGATTATTCTTTAAATATTTAAATAAGTATAAGAAAACCTCTTGTGATATAAAACATTTGAAAAATTCTAATAAATACTGCAATTATATCAAATAAATGTATTTTATGTATGTGACTAGAGTCATTGTTAAAGGTGAAAAACCTCTGCCACATTCTCTCCACATCTTCTATGGTCCCTTTGTAGATGTTACACATTGATTACTTTGTTAATGTTTATATAATATTTATTTGTATTATAAAATACAAAAAAAGGTTGTGATATTTTTCAGTTTAATAACATGTATATACAAATAAATGTATTATAAACACAAAGAAAGTGTTGTTGAATTCATGTAAGCTACATAAAAAACTGTTTCTCATAATAGTTCTTAGGTGAGGAAGGCTGAATGTACTTAACCATATGCACCTAAACATGAACATGTTATAGCAACTAATAACATTTGAGAAAAATCAACAATTGATGGCTGATTTTATGAGCATTAACAAATAAAAAATACATGTAATATATAGCTTAAATTAAACATAGTGTGGCAACTGGAATATTAAGGATCTTATTTCTTTTCTTGAGAGCATCAAACTACATGTACTGGCAAGTAACCTCATTATGAAAGCACTTGTTTGGTATTACATTGTGTGCAAGACTGTTTAAAAGCTTTTATAGAAAGGATAGCATTCTTTCAAAATAGAAATAAAGGCCCTTTGCAATACTCTGTATAATAATCAAATATTCAAATTTATTTGGTTTAAAACAACAATCATAAAATAAGAATCCACTTTTTATTTTGTACATAGAAATTTGTATTACCTTTTGTTCACTAGTAATTTATGCTATTGCAATAATTATCAACAGCCAATCACATTATGTTCACTAGCAGTTGAAGAAGTTACAATTAATAGTGATGGCCAATCAAATCATGGAAGACAAAAAATGATTGTTGAAGAAGTTACAATTAATAGTGATAGCCAATCAAATCATGGAAGACAAAGAATGATTGTTGAAGAAGTTACAATTAATAGTGATAGCCAATCAAATCATTGAAGACAAAGAATGAATGCAGTATTTTCAATAACTAATAAACAATTCATAATTCAACTAACAAATAATCAAACTTTGTGCTAATTATAGACTGAAAATTCTGTGGAATATAATAAACAACTTCATAATTAGTCCAAATAATTATGACGTCTTGAAAGGCTGTTTAATTTTTTTGCTTTGACGCCTTCCTGCAGAAAGGCATCCAAGCAAAAAAATAAAAAAGCCTTTCAAGACGTCATAATTATTTGGACTACTTCATAATATACAACTATATATATATATATACAAGCATGTAATACTGGTTTATAATCCTGATAATATTTAAATATTTATTTTTGGTTAAATGAGAAACTTTCTTATTACTGAAGCTTACAAACTTACTGTTCATGAATGTCTTTTTATATTAAATGGTTTAAGAAATGAAAGCCCCAAAATTGCTGCCATATCTATTTTAAAATACTCCTTAAAGTAGTACATGTGTAATCATTAGATCACAAGACCATGACAAGGATACATAGCACAGTGCATGTAAACAGAAGTTCAACTTGAGAGACATCAATGTAAAACATTTGCAAAATTTGCTTCGACACTTGAGCAAATGAATGGTGGGAAAATAATTAATACTAGAAAAATTGCATCATTTTATATGTTGTTCTAAACTTTAGCAAGCTGATCCAGAAGCCATTCTTCTGTTAATTCTTCTGTACTTCTTATATCATAAGTCTGAAATAAATATTATAACTTGAAAATTATTGATGTTTAAACATTAAGCTTATGATAAACAATAGTTTTTGAGTTAATACTGTGTCACACCACATTTGTCTGTATAAGGTAAAATATTTTCTAGGTCTGATAGCATTTCTTGACCTACCTGAAGGTCAATATTCTAAGTTATATGGTATGTTACTGACCCCTTACGGATCTAAAGAGGGTTAGTAAAATCCAAAGGAGGTGATGCCGAAGGCCGAATATCCTATTTATTTTACTAATCCTCTATGGATCCGTAGGGGGTCAGTAGTGAACCGTATAACGAATTTATCGCACACAGGACTTTTCCTGCTAAGTTATGTATAAAAATAAGCAATGAAATACAATAACATTAATCGATGACGTCACCATTAATAGTAAATGTGATGTCATGAACCCCATATGAAATCTACTGACCCCATATGGATCCAAAGGGGATCACTACGTGATGGTGTTAATCCAATCATAACGTCATAATTTATTTGAGGTATTTAATGAGAGGGGTCTGTTTTTTTACATTGCTGGATGGTGTCAACATTGTTGTGTTTATTGTACTAAATGTTTGTCATTATAAAATAACATAAAAGTAATTAAAAGTCAAACTTCAGGGAATTTATTGTTATTATTATTTTTTTTCATTAAACTGGAATATGTGCCATCAACATGCTGTGTAAATGTATACTATGCCAAGTACTTAAACAGTTGTAAGGCACTGCGGATTCACTTACTTTCGGGGTTACCAATTTTCGCTGATTGAGGAAAAATTAAATTTATATGGATATTTGATTTCGTGGTTTAGCCAATCTTCTTTAAAGCTTATCTCTTGTCGTGAAATAGCCTTTTTGTGCTGATGAGTCGTAAAGCCATTACCAATCAATCATTCAATCTTACAAGCTTATTGAAAATTTATGCTTTGTTGAATATTTAAATATGTGGTTAATCTATACCCAGGAAATCAATGAAAAATTGGTATTCCTCACTTAATAATGAATCCTGCAGTAATATGACATCTTCATGAAAATAATGAATTTTGTTTTACAGTGCAGAATAATGTTTGAGTTAGTATAAAATCATTTTCCACTTATTTCTGTTAATAAACATGAACTGCTATCAATGATTCTGCTCCTATTACAGACCACCACTTTAAATGGATAAGGAAGACAGAATGACCTACATGAACTATACATTTAAAGCCAGTTAACAGATGAGGATCCAGGGTATTGAAAGGGGGGCAAACTAGGCAACATTTAGAGTAGGACAGTAAAAAGTGTATGCATTAACAATAAATGTAGCTCCGTAAGGGGCCCAGGCCCCTGCCCCTGCCCCCCTAAATCCACCTCTGGTTAAGTTAATATAAGTATTACTTTAGTTAGACCAGTCTGTTGTATAAGAGCATGTAAGGATCCTGAGTACATCATTTGTTGTTCTGGTTTACATCCTGAAAAATAAAATTAAATTGTAACATGTTATATACACCTGTATCAAGTTATAAGGGCAAGAAGAAAAAAAAAACCTGTTTTTTGTTACACATCTGAAAATTGGTTAGGGTTGGTTTATCAGGTTTAAAAAATATTTGATTCAAGTGTAAATATAAAAGACAAAGGATAGCTAAGAAATCAGGATTAAGATTTGAAGTAAGGATATAACTACTAGAGACTTTTGACAGAATTTACCATAAACATTTATTTGCCATGGAATACCGTAAGATATGTTTTTAATCTTTGGTAAAACTGCACAACTCTACTGAAACTTCAAAAATATATATCCTAACACTGTATGAAAGTCAACTACAATTTGATTGGCTTACACAGAGATACTACTGCAACTGTCATTTTCGCAGTAATGGCAGAGATAAGAAAATTGTATTTTTGAGATGATAAAAAAAAAACCAAACATTTTCTTTATCTTAAAACTTAAAAGAACACCACACACAAACAAGTGTTTTTCATTTATCCCAACAACATGTCTGGAGCTTTTTAGTTTACAGTTTCAATATCATCAATCATATTTTTGTAAATTCCTTGAAATTTTGCCTTATATCTACTTTGCTTCTTAAAGCTAAATTTTATTGTCTTCAAAGTGTGATGTTCTAAAATGATATGTGATAGGCGGCACTCATACAGCCTGTTCCTGATGAAGCTTAATCCAAAAAAGTGCTTTGGTGTTATTTTCATTTAAATAAAAATTAAATTTATCATGAAACGTGAATTTGTGTAACCTTAATAAATAACGAGAAATCAATTTGGAAACATTTAAAATTATGAATAATATTTCTGAAAGGGGACAAATAACTTTTTTATATGAGCAAAAATGACTTTTGACAAAGGAATGTGTACCTACCTGCTGGACTACTGAATATAAAACATAGAGGATAAGACACTCTACCATCACTGTGTTGTCTTACATAACTGACAACTAAATAGCGAGGTTGACATTCTGGAAGCTCTGCTTGTAGTTCATCTATTGTACAATCCTAAAAATATGACATTTTAATTAAGATACAAAATTAAAGACAAAATACAGTGAAACCTGGGTTAACTATACACCTCAGGAACTAGATATGTTATTTAGATAAGAAAAAACCCTAACATTTTCTGTAATCTAATTAGTCTAGTGTCCCCCATGTTGCACATATTTTATCTGTCCTAAGTCAAAGGGGAAATATCTTATAGAAATGGAGACTTGAAAGCAAATGCAATGCAATTTACGATATAATTAATATTTCCAAGGGGCATAATTATATAACTTGTTAAAAATATTTGATCAGCACTTATTTTCGAATTTGTCAGAGACATATGATATAAACATTTGATATAATTAACATAAAAATCTGGCAAGAATTGTACACATGAAAGCGCTAACAATTGCAATTTTCCATATAATCAATATTTCCAATCTCTTTTAAAAATAATTGATTGGCACTGGTTTTCGAACTTGTCTGAGACATTGCTGATATAAACCCATGATAAAAGTTCATAAAAATCTAGTAAGAATTGTACACATGAGAGGGCTTACACTGCAATTTCCATATAATTAATATTTCCAAGGGCATAACTCTTTTAAAAATAATTGATTGGCACTGACTTTTGAAATTGTCTAAAACATTGTTAATATAAATCTATGATATGTTTCATAAAAATCTGGCAATCATCTATGATATGTTTCATAAAAATCTGGCAAGAATTGTACAACGATGCAATTTTCCATATAATTATTGTTTCAAAGGGAATTAACTCTTTTAAAAATAGTTCTTCTGCACTGATTTTCGAACTTGTCCAAGACATTGCTGATATAAATATATGATATAAGTATAAAAAAAATCTGGCAAGAATTGTACACGTGAGAGCGCTGACAAGACTGGATGGACAGACGCACCGATGGACGCCCGGTATTTCTATGTCCCCTGCAATGCATCACACACAGGGGACAATAATTAGTTTTGACTTAAACAAAAAAAAAAGGGGGAGGGGAAAAAAAAATAGCTCCTCAGTCCCTGCAAATGTACAGGTTACAAGGTTACAAATGGTAAACTTTTTAAGAGTACAATGTGTTTGTTCAAACAGGTACACTGTATCTAATTAAAACACTTAATTTTTAAAAAGTTTAGTTATTGCGAAACAATTTCAAAAATCAAATGAGTTTTTGCTTTTCTGGCATAATGGCATTATGCTATTATTAATATAAGCCATGAAATTCTATATTTGCCATTCTACACAACTTTTCAAATCAGGTAGATATATGCTAAAATTATCTCCAATAAGATTTTCCTCAAAATTCACGAAAAGTGTTTAATGTTTATAAAGTCAAAATAAATTTACAATAATTTATGTTATAATAAATGTACATATTTCTAAAATAAATACCTGGTTAAAAATTCTATATTTTTTTGGTATTAATTAAATAGGGAATAAAGTTTAGTTTTGATCTAAATGAACAATGGATTATAAGATTTAAGACCGATACAATATTGTATGTATTAAGCAGCTTTACTACCTTATTTGGACAATGGTCTGTTGTTTATAAATATGATAAACAATTGAATGATTGAAGATTTTCTCAAGATTCAAGATTTAAAAATATCAACTGTACAACCATCTAAAATGGTTTCAAATCATTACCTCATATTCTTCTTCTAACACTACTCCCTTTTCTTTATCTATTTTTACTAAAAGAAAATAAGGAAATGTAACAGAAATGTGTAAAACCAAACAAAAACATGAATATGGAAAATTATCAATAATCAAAGTGTGGTTCACTTGATCTCAGATCTTCATTGGCTAAAATTCAAATATGTCGTCAAATTAAATTTCATTCCTCTAATTTTGCTATCATAACATTATAAAAAATGTGACCATGCCAGATGACATCTCATAGAAAGATCTTTTTGCAAAAATTTACAATCTAAGAAACAGAATTTGTTACCCTACTCATCATGCTCATGAAATATGATATTTCTTGCACTCAAAACAGCATATATAATGCTCTGCAAGCCTCAGGTTTTCAATTTAAAATTTAACTGTCTCAATGGAGAAATCAATACAGTGTTACAATCTATATCTTTTTTTTTTTATAACCATGTAAAAAGTATGTGTAAAAAAGGAATCATATAATGAGGGACATCATATCTTAAATCTCTTTTTTACATTCAAACAGAGAATAAGCTTTACAGGTTCCCAGTAGCTAATGCTACTGAAAATTTGACTGGGCCCCTAATTTTTTACAGAATATCCTGTATGGTCAATACAAAATTTTCACATTTTGTCAGTTTTGCCCCTGGAGTGAAATTTTAAAGCTCATTCCCTGTTCAAAGCTTTCAATATCTATCTGTTACAGTTTACTTAGTTATTTTACATTACATAAGCTAACCATGTTTACAATCCAACACCTAGAAAAAGCACTTCCATAAAACCCAGAAAAGCTTTTTGTCAACTTTTCAATTCAAAATAACAAATTCATCTTTGCAGATTAATTTTCAAATCATCTTCATATGTACACACAAAACAGTTAACATTTTCTCAATAAGCGGTAATATAATTTACAATTTTCAATTTACTTCATATTTCATGTAACTCTAGTCTATCTACTTTTGTACATGTTAATTTTATATTCATTTCATGGAAAACTTCAATAATAAATTATATCTAAGAAACTTACACAAAAGTGCTGCTATATTTTTCTCTTTTCTAAAACGAAATTTTTTCAATCTAGAAGTAACTTCAGGATCAATATCACAAACCTGGACATTCTGTGCCTACAATATAAAATACAGCAGTGTATTTGTTCTTTTTCAATTTGTTCATATAAAATTTACTTCTTAAAATGCATTGCTAAAAAAATTGAATTTACCAGGCAAGAAAGTGCACTTGACTTCTTTTAAACTATCACAAAAAAAATTATATATTGTACATTGTAGTTTACTTTATAAAAATAAGAGGATATAGTATAATTGCCAATGAGACAACTCTCCACAAGAGACCAAATGACACAGAAATTAACAACTATAGGTCACCGTACAGCCTTCAACAATTAGCAAAACCAATACTGCATAGTCAGCTATAAAAGGCCCAGAAATGACAAATGTAAAACAATTCAAACGAGAAAACAAACAGCCTAATTTATGTACAAAATAATGAATGAAAAACAAATATGATACACAGAAACAAATGACCACTGACTTGGGACAGGCACACACAGAATGTGGCGGGGTTAAACGTGTTAACGGGCACCGAACCCTCCCCCTAACCTGGGACAGTGGTGTAACAGTACAACATAAGAACAAACTAAAACTGGACAAAGTGATTCCCCGGCACTACACTCTGAAGTAACTGTATTATAACAAAGTCAATGTAGGACTTTCTTTGAGATATTATTGTGTCTGGGAGACACAAATGATGCCCCCGCAGATGCAAAGTGCTATTTTAAAATACACAAAGTTGAGCATGGAAGCACATAGCTCTATCGTTCACTGTAGGAGGAGTTATCTGGAAATGCTATGCACCTCTTATGCAAGTATATACTCCAAAAATGACAAAGTCCAACTATTCCCAAAAGAGCAAATATCAATAAAAATCAAAACCCTGACCACATGCACACCTTTAATATACATGTATGTACAAACAGCCAGCAAAGTGAAAACTTCCTAGCATTCAAACTGTAGAAGTTATCCGGAAACGCTATGCACCTCTTATGCAAGTAAATACTCCAAAAAATGACAAAGTTCAACTATCTCCCAAAAGAGCAAAAGCAAATATCAATAAAAATCAAAACCCTGACCACATGCACACCTGCAGTATATGTACAAACAGCCAGCAAAGTTAAAACTTCCTAGGATTCAAACTGTAGGAGGAGTTATCTGGAATAGCTATATACACATAATGGGACGGACAGACAGACAGGGGTAAAACAATATGCCCCGCAACTGAAAGTTACGGGGGCATAAAATTCAGTTGAAAAAGGCTTAACTCATCAGATGGATACAAACAGAAATACATATAACAAAAACACAGTGTGGACGTGGCAGGGTACTTATACATCCCATCAACAAAAAGACACTAGCCTCCGTGTGCAGGAGTTTCTCCCTGCATTGAAGACCCATTGGTGGCCTTCGGCTGTTGTCTGCTCTATGGTCGGGTTGTTGTCTCTTTGACACATTCCCCATTTCCATTCTCAATTTTAATTTTACTAAGTACAGATCTGAGAGTACTCCCAGTTACTGACAGCTAGTTCAAAGCCAATAGGTGCGGGAGTTTCTCGCTGCATTGAAGACCCATTGGTGGCCTTCGGCTGTTGTCTGCTCTATGGTCGGGTTGTTGTCTCTTTGACACATTCCCCATTTCCATTCTCAATTTTAATTTTACTAAGTACAGATCTGAGAGTACTCCCAGTTACTGACAGCTAGTTCAAAGCCAATAACAACTAATAAAAAAATCATGCATCTAAGACTAAAATATCAATCAGTACACATCCAACATCCAATGGATTTAGTGTAAAGACGTCATTAACAGTCGGAGAAAAAACATAACCTTGTGCAATGCTTAGATACAGGTATTGACAGATTGTAGAGCCATGAATGTGTATATGTATATAAAAATAATATTTAGTTTGATTTTAATTTACTGATTACAAAATCAATATTAATACCAATAAAAACAATATTCAAAGATCTAATTACAGTGATGAATTGGTAACCTTTTAGAATAAGTTTATTTAAAGGATCAATAAGTTTACCTGGATCATGTCTAAATTCCCGGGCTTGGTAAACAACATCTCCATATCAACATTTACCAGGCTTTGAGAATATCATTTAAAAAATGGTACATATTCATTTGTACTTATTTGATGTACAATGTTATTTAACTATGACTTAAGGTAAAATGCAATGAGATTATAATAAACAATGAATTCAATTAATGTATAAATAAGTTTGTTTAATGAATTAATAAAGTTTTTATCTAAAATATAGAATCACCATGATGAAGTAGAAATTCGATTTTACATTAAACCAATCACTTTAGGCACAGCACTTCATTTGCAAATGCAGCAAAGGTATAAAGGATACTTTAATGTGAATATAATAATTAATCATTTAAAAAGCACAAACTCTATGCTTATACTTTGTCTGAGTTTTAGACGATCCCAGTTGACTAATTGACAGACTTTAGGTAAAATACAAAATAAATATGCAATGATATTAAAAAAAAAAAAAAAAATTCAGCATCAAGTTCATTTTTTTTTGTATAAAATAAGTTTTATAGTAAATAAAACATAAATACATTGTAAGAAGAAATTTGGATTCACATTGAAATAATTATTTTGATATTTTTTTGCAAATTCAGCAACATTTAAAGGATACTTTTATGTGAAATATAACATTTAATCATTTATAATCATTAAATAGTCTAAACTTTCTTTTAATACTTTGTCTGGGCTGACATTATAGTAGTCCGAGATGACTTTATTGTTTGTCTGAGTTGTCTCTGAGTCGACTTGTTTCATATTCGTCTCATGTGCATCTACCTCATTTATCAAAAAGATCCATAAAACTGTCTCCCAGTATGCATCTGATGATTTGTTGTTTTATGAAGAACTACTTTCCCAATTAAAATATTGTTTTTTTAATTGCAAAACAATGACTAGGGTTTTCTGTATATATCAATCAAAGCTTTGTGCATCTTGGTTTATAACTTCACAGAACCTATTAACCTATCTCAAAACTGATATTCAGTAAAACGACCACACTTTGTAGAACAATGTACATTATACAAATTTCATTTTATGAATGAGTTATGTCTGTTAACCAGCATAACTGATGTCATTGAATAATCAACTCTTACTGTGGCATAATAAATTGTGCATTGTTACATGTACATTTGAAATGTACAGAGAAATACAGGAATGTGAGAGTCGTATTGAGTAAGAAAGTAAGTAAATTTGATTTAGAGTCGGACAAGATATGTACAAATTAACATAGTAACTTTTTGGACATTAATTGGATTCATTGTTACATTTTTTTTTATTTAGAATTACTTTTAATGACAGTTGATTGTAATTCAGGTAGGCTGATTAGGTATAGATGAGATAAGATTTATAAAGTCTTTTATTTCCAATAGAGGGCGCATTATGGGCATAATCAGTACAATGATTTTTTTATACTAAGTATAATTATGATGTCTTTGATCTCACTGATTGTTGTATTAATTGTAGTTGGTGGATCAATAATAGACGACTGTGCGAGGGCTTCATAGCCAGTCACCCCCTAGTAGTAGTAGTAGTAGAGGATTATGAATGAAAATAACATTTTCCTAAGGCCATTGAAAAATGAATGTTGGTTTCCTCTAACATGTGAAAATTATCAAGGCCTGGCAAGCAGGAAAAACTTTACATGCATATTGTGGTATTATCTATGTGGAACAAAAGGAATGAGAATCTGATCAATGTTGAAACACTTTTAAGAGATTATCAGACAATTTTGAAAAGCATCATTGAAAATTTTCAATAGAAACCAGAATAACAATTTTTTTTTCATCTGCAAGAAAAAAAAAGAGAAAAAAAAAAGAATTGACCCGAAGGGTAAAAACAGACCGGGCAGGATTAGGGGAAACCAACAATCATTTTTGCATGGCGTTTAAAAATAAACTAGTCAGCTTGGAATGAATAAAATCAAAGATGTACAAATTGTACAACATGAAATTGAAAAGTTAAGGTATATTTAAAAAAAACTGTAGCAATTCATACATCCTTTTTCAATTTTGTTTGTTGAATTTTCATCAAAAAGTTACTAGACATGTTTTTCCAGGTGTCAAAATCAAGGTTTGGAGACATGTCCAAGAGTATGGTTTGGTGAGAGCATTTTTTATATAATATTTCAATTCAGTGCTCTTTAAAATAATAGTGTTAATACATAACTGGTTTATGATGCAAAGTTCAAGTTGGATCTTGTTATAAATATCTGTTGAAATTGATTTACATTATACAACTTAAAATAAAAAGCAGGGCGAACAGACCAAGGGCAAACAGGTATATGGGAAAACAGGTACTAGGGGGAAAGTGAATCAGGGCTAGAGGACCCAGATTCAGTTCTGTAGAGTTCTTAACCGACTTTAGTCTTTAATGATTTTATATTTGAAAAAAACAAATAATAAGTATTATAATAGTTCATGGTATTACCTTTTCATACGCAAATTGAAAGAAGGAAAGAAACCATTAAATATCAACTGATATACTTATAGTTTGTACAGTCTTTTCTTTTCAATTATAAAAACAATTACAAAGCAAATAAAAGAGGATTCCAACCCTTGAAAATCCGCCCCTTTCATGCCAGGCTAATTTTTTCTGAACAAATCCAATAAAAAGCATTATAAGGTGTAGATCGGGAGTTATTCAAGTCAAATTAATATTTGATATGCTATGCCAACTTATAAACGAGTGAAATCTAATGGGATTCGTTTATTTCTTACCATTTTAGTTTAGCAGAAGGCGGAAGTAAATAAAAGAAGTTTCGGAAGTCCTCGTAAAAATGTAAGATATGCTAAAACTATGAAAATGTAACCGTTGCAAATAAGCACTTAAATAATTTTTGTTCTTTGATGTATATAGTATTAAAATAATGTGATTTTTATCATTATACTGACATATTGTAAAAAGAATTCAAAATTTGATATGAGATTTATTCTCAGTGGTATTTATTATTTTCCCTGATCGGAAATAGAAAGCATTATTTTCTATTTGAAATCTGGATGTTCCGAAAATAAAATGCACGTGGAACCAAATCGAATCAAAACAAACAACATGCTGTCACTTTGAGATATTATGACTTGAACATTTGGTAGTTACTAACCTTGGATTTTTTTTTATGAAATAATTTAGTGTATTGTATAGATATTCGCCACTTGAATCAATATTAAAATGAGCGCTAGTATAAATGACAATTTCCCAACTTTAGTCTTTATATGTTATCATTTATAGTATAAAGTTTAGTATATACTATAACACTATGATTCTTCTACTTCTATCAGATAATGGCCACAATCAATGAACTGATTATTCTGCCATGAGTTTGGTGCGCATATGCAGGGGCGGATCCAGGATTTTAGGTTTTGGGAGGGGGGCGCAAACTTAAATTTTTTTTGAGGTAAAAGTATCGAAATACTCTGAATTAAGCTGAGGACAACCCATGCTTTGCAATTTTTGGGGGGGCGCACGCCCACCACGCCCCCGCCTGATTCCGCCCCGGCTATGGACCCCCTCCCCCATAATGTTTGAATTTAGTTCATCTTTGTCCAGACCTGCCAACTCCAAATTTATGGTGGATAGAGAGGTGTTGAACTGAATTTTGAAATTCCTTATTTCATAAACTGAACACCCAAAAAAAAGGCATTCAAATGAGTAAAAAAGGGTATTTAACCACGTATATATTCATTTAAACAATATAGTAGTAGATTAAAACAATTATGACAATATAAGAGGTGCATTAGGTCCTCTTGTGTTTAAAATCCCCCATTGAGATTTTGAAAAGTTGGCAGGTATGTTTGTCACAGAGGCTATGAAAGCCTCGACTGACATTGCTTATACCCCCCAGGAGGTAGAGTGTTCTAATTCCTCTGCTCATATCGTAAACTTGGAAATGTATGATGGCTTGTTTTGAAGCTTAGACATTTTCACATATGTGGTTAAATTTTCGGGGTACGAAGTGAGATTCATTTTTCCGTAAATTAGCACAACCCGAAAATCATTTCGTGATGCGGTTCCTTGAGGTATAAAATCTATTTTTTTTACACAATAAGTTCTTTTAAAATTTAAGTCTTTGCATACATTTAATAACTCCAAAGTTTTTACACATTTATTCTATGGTCCTCTACTTTCCAAATCAGCATAAATGGTTAAGCTCAGTCACTTGTTAAAAATAGAAACATGTCCAATATCACTTCACAGAGATTTTTTGTTTACACACAACTTTTGAGTTTCTTAATTTGAGGCGAATTAGGGATATTGACCCAGGTGCATACAAATGAAGCGGGTTTAAATGTTATAACAGGCGCCAACCTTCACCCTAACCTGAAATTGTAGTGTAACATTACAACATAAAAAGACACACTATAAAATATCAATTGAAATGGCTTAACTCCTTCAAAAAGACATACAAACTAAAACAAGTAATCATACACTGAACAAATAAATTTGATCTATGACACAATATAAATACAATAATAATAGAAAAGATGTAAAACAATGTCAAAAAAGACAACTCCAACCTGGGATAAAATGGCGTTAAATAAAATAACATACACAGGTTAATTTAAATATAATAATTTTATTGTTAGTACAGAAATATTTTTTGCAAAATAGATAGATTTGTTGTTCACAGTACAAGTACAGAAGTGAAAATTTATCGTCCTACTAAATACTTATCAAAGGTTGTACATATTAAAAATAGTGGGACGAGATATAACACAAAATAAGTAATCATTGATTTACAAAAATGCATTACAAATTGTGTCAACAGGTCAAATTAATACATGTACTACCACACAATGGATCTTTCCCCTAAAGACTTGAACTTTGAAAATTATCAATCTCTTTAGATTATTTGAATGAAATTGCCAGTTTACAGTCATGTATAATGCACATACACAAGGGTATGGATGGCATGGATGAGGGGTCCTTCATTTCTGAATTCTTTAATTTTTTCGCTCATTATTCTTTATCTTTTAAGATAATGGCTATTATGTAACTACTTGATAACTATATTCTGGACTTTGTTCTTTTCTGTAATCAGTATATTTTTACCCAATTCTTTAATTTTTGCAGTTATTCTTTATATTTTAGCACCCCATTATTCTTTATTAATATTCTTTCTTTTTTTTTGACCATTATTCTCTATTCTGTAAACCCCATCCACACCCTCATTACCTTATCACTATTTGTCCTCCATTACTGGACATCATATTCCCGTAAAATTTTGACTTCATAATAGAAAATGTCTGATGACATAAAGGGAAATTGAATGTTGTATGATGTCAAATGTTCAAGTGTCGCAAATCCTCAGGTCAAGTGTCACAGATTCCCAAATGGCGATAAGGTCTATTGAGTCTAACACAGGCCATTGGACTCAAAATCTCTAGTAAAATCAGATACAACTGGTAATCCCTAGTTCCATACACATGGAAAATCAACATGCATTGTAGTCTTTAACTCTTAAAACTGTGGAGTATCTTTTTTTATCCTGCAATCGACCTTTCTACTATACTAATATAGGTGTACAGATAACACGAAGCGATATACGTATACTAGACGTATATAGTCTCCTGGTATCCTGCTTCTGTTGCGAGCGAATGGTTATGTCAAATTACTGTTTACGTCACACTTCAATTTGGGGTCCTCATTGCAGTCTGCGTTTAAGTCATGTCGATTTCTTTCAAAAACAAATTCAACGATTGGGATGGGAAAAAAATGTACAAATTTAATTGCAGGATAAAGACAATAACTGTTTAGTGTCTTTAAATATCAGCTGTATTTGTACTCGGCTCGAAACAGGAGTAATAGCTCGCTGAAGCTCGCATTACACCTGTTTCTTAGCCTCGTACAAATACAGCTGATATTTAAAGACACTAAACAGTTATTGTCTATTTAACTGATACTGAGAAATTGTATAGATGTATGACTTTGAATCTTATTTTTTTCAGTACTATGGAGAGCAGTCAATTGCTAAGGCAGCTTAAAGAGTTGACTTTGTTAGATTTAGACAAAGCTGTCCTACAAGAGAGTGAATACATAAGAGATGTGATACTAATTAAACAGACCAAAGAAAACAGACCACTTCAGGAACATTTAAACATACTGACATGTTTAGTCAGTTCAAACAAAACTGCATTATCGGAAATAACATGTACAGTTATTCTACAACAGATTTGTATTCCATTATTGAAAAGTATTCACCTGTCTTATGATAGTAGGAAGGAAAATGTTGCTGAATTAGGTCAAATTAATAAGTTAATAACAAGTTGTCTCACTACTGAAAATGAAGTATCATTCAAGCCATTGATTGATCTATGTCTCCAATCATTGAAAAACCATGTCCATGTGAAATCTTGTACTTTGGATAGCCAGGCTCTTGAGGGTGTGTTAGATTTACAAGTTTGTTTAGATGTGCTGCTAAATCTTACTCAGAGAAAAGACCAGGCTACTGGAAACATTTATATGATGCAAAGTTGTAACAATACAATTAAAGATATTTTCGATAATTTAATGTGCATACTGAATGATTTTCAGAATCGAAGAGCTCTTAATTTGTCATTGAGATGTGCTTCTAATATAATTAAGAATGAGGATCAAAAAAGTTATTTGGATACTTTTTGGCTCCTCATCACTAGGATGTGGCAGACGAGCAGAGAGGCAGACATATTGAATATTTATTTATGTGGTCTCTCAAACTTTTTCTTTCCCATTGATAACAGTTGCAATATTAATATCAGGAATGAACAAGTTTTTTGGGAAATTGTTCAGAAAGGTTTGAATTCAGAGAATCCTTTGTCCAGAAAACAGTCAGTGTATCTAATCAAGAGAAATATAGATATATGCGAAAAATTGAAAATTGATGTGAACAGTAATTTTAATGGACACAATGTACCATTATTCTGGTGGTCTAAAGACAAAGAAAAGATTCTTGTAAAAGTTTGGGAAGATCTTGTCATGTTACTAGAAACCATGGAAGATAGGCAGGTATATTTGATGTGAAAAATGTACAATGTTTTAAAAGGTCCAAAATCACACACAATGAATATGTTTTAAATTGATACACTATCAATGAGAAATAAACAAAAATATAGCAACTTCACAATATATTATAATATAAAACATTGACCTGTTCATTTAGATATAATGTATAAAGCAACTTCACAATATACTAAAAATTTTAAGAAAAAAAGAAAGTTTACGAGTGTTCTTTCAAAGTTTCTTCGCGGTTCAGTCTTCAGAAATGAAGAAGGTTCATATGGATTGACAAAGTTGGTGATTATCACATATATATACTGTTGTCTTCACTGACTTCAGTGGAAGGGGGATAATATTAAAACTTGTAAAAAGTGATAGAACGACCAAGTGTATGAATGATAAAAAAAGGTGTCAAAATATAAACGATATGAAAAACAGGAAATATATGCAGATCAATGAATTAACCTCAGTCAATGGCAAAACTGATAAGTATACCCATATCACATTGCAAGTTTTAAGAATATACATGTATAGTGTAAGCAGTTCTTGCAGAGGAAAAAATCAACTCAATCTTAAACAAAATATCATTGTTGTTGAACATAGAACTTGCAGAGATAACATTGACTGGCACTGGAGATCTGTTGACTATTTTTAGAAAAAGAATATTAAATGTAACTGATTGCAGTACATGAAACAGATTAAAGACATATGAGTATATGGATTCAGATAAAAATATTTAAATGCAAGATTTTCAAAGCAGTAACTTAAGTTACTTGCCATTTGTTTGACAATACAATATTCAATTTTTGTTTTACTCTTACAGTACCTCCAGATATTTTTTTCTGTTGATGTTAATTTTTTTTAATAGGTAAAGAACACATATCTATAGGTTTTTATACGCCCGTTTACGGGACGTATTATGGTATACCGTTGTACGTCCGTCTGTCCGTCCGTCTGTCCGTCCGTCTGTCCGTTCGTCTGTTGTCAACATGTCGGACATTAACTCAAAAACGCTTTAACCAATTTGCTTAAAACTTTGGTGAATTGTTTATATCTATTGACGTGAGCTCCCTTTCGTTTTTTATAAATTTTAGATTTTATGTTTCCGAGTTATGGGGTTTTATTCATTAAAAAAAGGGGGATTTTCCAGTTTTCGGACAATAACTCAAGAATGCTTTCACCAACTTGCAAGAAATTTTGGTTAATTGTTTATATCTATTGACATGAGCTCTCTTTGGATTTTTATAAATTTTAGATTTTATGTTTCCGAGTTATGGGGTTTTATTCATAAAAAAAAGGGGGATTTTCCAGTTCTCGGACAATAACTCAAAAATGCTTTCAGCGGTTCTCATGAAACTTTGATGAATTGTTGATATCTATTGATGTAAGCTCCCTTTAGAATTTTATAAATTTTAGATTTTACATTTCCGAATTATGGGGTTTATTCATTAAAAAAGGGTGGATTTTCCAGTTTTCAGACAAAAACTCAAAAATGCTTTCAGCAATTCGTATGAAACTTTGGTGAACTGTTTATATCTATTAATGTAAGTTCCTTTTAGAATTTTATAAATTTTATTTGTTTATAGTCTGACAACAGATTTACTAAGTATTGCGCAACAGCACAGTGTATTGCACAACAGCAAGAAATCTTTAATTGAATATAAATTCAATTCATATAACCAACTTCAAGTTCTTTGACTACATTTATTCAGAAACCTATAATAGATGTATGTCAAATATTTAATTACAATCCAATATCAGACCTGTATCAAGCTTGATTATTGTGTCCATTTTTGCCCCAACTGTTCAGGGTTAGACCTCTGCAGGCGTATCCAGCTGCGCTCAGCGAAGCAGTTTATTTTTTTTTATGGCATCTTACTTTGAATGTTTTACAGATACATGTCATTAAGCCATTGCTACCTAGACTACAGACCCTGATCAAGGCAGCTTCTTCAGACACTGGTAATGTTTGTTTTTTTTGTAAAATAAAATCATAATAAAAGCAGAAAAATACGACATGAACAATAAAAAAACATAATTTCTGAAATTTAAGACTTATCAAGCTGATTTCATATTGGAAAAAAATCAAAATATATTAGAGAAGTGATATGTTTTTTTAAAATGGAATTGAAGCCAATATAAAAATAAAGAGATATGGTAGGATTGCAAATGAGACAACTACCCACCTAAGACCAAATGGTGTAGATACATGTATAAACAACTATAGGTCAATATACAGCTTTTCACAATGAGAAAAGCAATACTATATCATATTGAAAATTACAAATGTATAAAAGGCTTTGACATGACAGTCTGTCAGTTGTGCAATAAAGGTTTTATTTGATAGAAAACTAGTTTCAATTTACATCATAATGAATAAGGATATACTGTCAAACTAATTGAAAAATGAAACCTGTGATACTTACCATTAGGATTTTATGATTATTTAAAAAAAGATATATAGATATATTTATAGCAAAGAACATAAAGAATTAACAAATATCAGATCTTAATAGTTGACCTCATTTCAGAAAAAACAGTTCTGCATACATCTTGGTTGTCTACAATATTTAGACGTGGAATTGCTCATGAAAGCATTGCCCTGGTAAAGTGGATGACAGAACAAGTATTATATCTAGACCTAGATACTTGTCCTATAATAGAACAGGGAGAAGATAAAGTAAGTTTTGTTAAAGTGTTTGCTGTAATGATGTATTTCTCTAATTCTTGGCAGATTTGTTCTTTCCCCTACGGGTTGATTATTTTTTTATAACCAATGCATGGTTTGTTTGATCTCAGTTCTTCACTTGGTCATAATTCAACTGTGATGTAAAATTTTCTTGATTACATCTGAATTTGCTATTATCGCATCAATAAAAAAAGCCACTATACCTGATGACGACACATAGGAATTAACACATCTTTTTGCATATCATTGAAAATGATAGATATATTGTCTAAAAACCATAAGCCAATCAGATTCCACCACAGCGTTGTTGAAGAATCAGTATTCATCATTGTGCAGTTTTAAGTCTGGATTTAGTTCCGACATTGTACAACTTTTGCCCAAAATGACTGCATGATCACCTGGAACAAACTGATTATCCAGTTAACAGTAAACAATGCTCAGATTATGTTTTCAAGTTTGTTGGAGACATAGAATAACTATATATAGAAACATCATTTGATTGGTTTTTATACGACCGCAAAAAAATTTTGTGGTCGTATATTGGTATGACGTTGGCGTCGGTCGTCGTCGTCGTCCGGCGTCGTCGTCCGAAGACACATTGGTTTTCGCACTCTAACTTTAGTTTAAGTGAATGGATCTTTTTGAAATTTGACCATAAGGTTAAATACCACAAAAGGAAGGTTGGGATTGATTTTGGGGGTTATGGTACCAACAGTTAAGGAATTAGGGGCCAAAAAGGGGCCAAAAATAAGCATTTTCTAGTTTCCAGACAATAACTGTGGAACGGTGTATGGATCTCTCTGAAATTATACTACAAGTTTCCATACCACAAAGGGATGGTTAGGATTTGCTTTGGGGGGTTATGGCTCAAACCGTTTAGGAATTAGGGGCAAAAAAGGGGGAAAAACAAGGTTGTCCTGGTTAATGGACAAATACTTTAGTACAAAACATAATTTAAAGCAGTGTAAGGGAGATAAATCAAATACATCATTGAAATTATCTCCCTTACACTGCTTTTAAATTATGTATAAAGTAATGGTTAATGAACAATAAAGATAATTTAAAACAGTGTAAGGGAGGTAATCCAAATACAACGTTTTGGTTACTTCCCTTACACTGCTTTTAAATTATGTTTAAAGAAATACATATTTATAAAGGAAGACCAGTAAAAATATCTGCAAATATTGCATCTTTTTTTTTTACAAAAAAATCCATATGAAAGATTTGACACTATATTTTTAATTCTATTATAAAATAGATTAAGTTAGCACTATGGTAAATTTAAATGGGTAATTATGGTTGCCAACTCCATTGGAAATTTGAATTGAGATTATGACCATATCTTGAGGGAAAGAATTTTTTTGGGGAAAAAAGGGGGGGGGGGGATAAAAAGAAATTGTGGGGGGTCAATTTTTTCTCATTTCAGATTTCAGAAATTAAAAAGAATTATTCTTCAAATATTATTTTTTTTTCAAATTTCAAATATTGAAAAATTTCAAGAAGTAATCTTTAATTGCACAGTATGGCGCATTAGATTTGTAAAATCTTTGATCACATTTATTTATTTGTTATGCCGAATCTAACAGTGTATTTAGATTTTTAATATTGGGTCCAGTTTTCAAATTGGTCTACATTAAGGTCCAAAGGGTCCAAAATTAAACTTTGTTTGATTTTAGCAAAAATTGAAAACATGAGGTTCTTTGATATGCTCAATCTAAACATGTATTTAGATTTTTGATTTTTGGCCCAGTTTTCAAGTTGGTCCAAATTGGGGTCCAAAATTAAACTTTGTTTGATTTCAACAAAAATTGAATATATGGGGTTCTTTGATATGCTGAATCTAACTATGTATTTAGATTTTTTATTTGTGGACCCCGTTATTAAATTGGTTCATATTGAGGTCAAAAGGGTCCAAAATTAAACTTTGTTTGATTTCATCAAAAATTGAATTATTGGGGTTCTTTGATATGCCAAATCTAACCGTGTTTTTAGATTTTTAATTTGGGTCCCATTTTTTAAAATTGGTCTTCATTGAGGTCCAAAGGGTCCAAAATTAAACTTAGTTTGATTTTAACAAAAATTGAATTCTTGGGGTTCTTTGATATGCTAAATCTAAACATGTGTTTAGATTTTTGATTATGGGCCCAGTTTTCAAGTTGGTCCAAGATAGGGTCCAGTATTTAAACTTTGTTTGATTTCAACAAAAATTGAATATATGGGGTTCTTTGATATGCTGAATCTAAACATGTATTTAGATTTTTGATTATGGGCCCAGTTTTCAAGTTGGTCCAAATTGGGGTCCAAAATTAAACTTTGTTTGATTTCAACAAAAATTGAATATATGAGGTTCTTTGATATGCTGAATCTAACCATGTATTTAGATTTTTTATTTGTGGGCCCCGCTATCAAATTGGTTCATATTGAGGTCAAAAGGATCTAAAATTAAACTTTGTTTGATTTCATCAAAAATTGAATTATTGGGGTTCTTTGATATGCCAAATCTAACCGTGTTTTTAGATTTTTAATTTGGGTCCCATTTTTTAAAATTGGTCTTCATTGAGGTCCAAAGGGTCCAAAATTAAACTTATTTTGATTTTAACAAAAATTGAATTCTTAGGGTTGTTTGATATGCTAAATCTAAACATGTGCTGAGATTTTTGATTATGGGCCCAGTTTTCAAGTTGGTCCAAGTTGGGGTCCAAAATTAAACTTTTTTTGATTTCAACAAAAATTGAATATATGGGGTTCTTTGATATGCTGAATCTAACCATGAATTTAGATTTTTTATACGCCCGTAAAATTTTTGATGGGACGTATTATGTTATACAAATGTCCGGCGTCCGTCCGTCTGTCTGTCCGTCTGTCCGTCGGTCTGTCCGTCTGTCTGTCCGTCTGTCTGTCCGGCGTAAACATGTCGCACCGTAACTTGAGAATGACTTATCCAAATTTCATGAAACTTAACATAGTTGTTTCTTATGATGGTCAAACGATCTGTATACTTTTTGGTGAAAATAAGATTAAAACTTTTTGAGTTACGGGACTTAGTAACTAAAACAGGTGTGTGTTTTTTTTCACATGTCGCGCCGTATCTCAAAAACAATTTATGATTATTGCTTAAAACTTTACACACTTCTTAGTTATATTAATCTTAAGATCTGTATACTTTTTGGTGATGATTCAAAATTTTATTTTTGAGTTATTGAGTATTTTGTTAAAAAGGGGGAGGGGTTTTTCACATGTCGCGCCGTATCTCAAAAACAGTTTATGATTATTGCTTAAAACTTTACACACTTTTTAGTTATATTAACCTTAAGATCTGTATACTTTTTGGTTTTGATTCAAAATTTTATTTTTGAGTTATTGAGTATTTTGTAAAAAAAGGGGGAGGGGTTTTTCACATGTCGTGCCATATCTCAAAAATGATTTATGATTATTGCTTAAAATTTTACACACTTCTTAGTTATATTAATCTAAAGATCTGTATACTTTTTGGTTTTGATTCAAAATTTTATTTTTGAGGTATTGATTTTTTTTTTTAAAAGGGGTGTTTTCACATGTCGCGCCATATCTCAAAAACGATTTATGATTATTGCTTAAAATTTTACACACTTCTTAGTTATATTAATCTAAAGATCTGTATACTTTTTGGTTTTGATTCAAAATTTTATATTATAGATATTGAGTTTTTTGTAAAAAAAAGAAGGGGGTTTTCGCATGTCACGCTGTATGTCAGAAACTATTTATGCTTATTGCATAAAAATTCACACACAAGACGACGGGCGTATCATGCGCTCATGGCGCAGCTGTTTATTATTTGTGGGCCCCGCTATCAAATTGGTTCATATTGAGGTCAAAAGGGTCCAAAATTAAACTTTGTTTGATTTCATCAAAAATTGAATTATTGGGGTTCTTTGATATTCCAAATCTAACTGTGTATTTAGATTTTTAATTTTAAGTCCCGTTTTTTAAATTGGTCTACATTAAGGTCCAAAGGGTCCAAAATTAAACTTAGTTTGATTTTAGCAAAAATTGAATTATTGGGGTTCTTTGATATGCTGAATCTAAACATGTGTTTAGATTTTTGATTATGGGCCCAGTTTTCAAGTTGGTCCAAGTTGGGGTCCAAAATTAAACTTTGTTTGATTTCAACAAAAATTGAAAATATGGGGTTCTTTGATATGCTGAATCTAACCATGTATTTTGATTTTGGACATTGGACCATAATAGGTAAATTAAAAAAAATCAAGTTCTTAGACCACATTCTTTCTGTGTCAGAAACCTATGCTGTGTCAAATATTTAATAACAATCCAAATTCAGAGCTGTATCAAGCTTGAATGTTGTGTCCATACTTGCCCCAACTGTTCAGGGTTCGACCTCTGCGGTCGTATCAAGCTGCGCCCCAGCAAAGCATTTTATTCATTTTCTGTTCAACTATTATGAAAATTTGTAAATAAATTCTGTAGTTATGAATAACACACATTGAAGACAGATAATTAAAAAAACATAAATAAGAAATATGGAACATTGATGTAATTTTAACAAAAAAAAGTGAAAATATATATTACATAAATGATCCATATAAAATGATAATGTCAAAAGTTAGAATTAAAAAAATATTTTACTATTTTACTATCTGTATCTTTTCAGTATTTTGCCAGTGAATTTTTACATTCCATTCAAGACCAAAAGTTATACCCAAGGTAAAAGTTTAGCCCTTTTTGTATACTTTGTGCATTTTACAATTAAACTTAATATACATGTTATGAGTCTGTCAGTCATTTTTGTTTAAAGATTTTAACTCCAACATTTTATAAAAGATTGCAACCATACTTGGATATATGGTATATAGTTTTAGACCTGTTCATCAGTCATTTTAGTTTCCTGATGCTAACACCAATACTTTATGTTGGATTGAAACAATACTTGAATATATGGTCACATAAAATGAGAGGAAGGTCCATATTGATTTTTAGAAGACTTTCCCTATTGATTTTCAGGTCACTTTGTTCATGGTCAAGGTCATAGTAACTTATTGTTTTTAATATCACTCATTTATGTATACCTCACATCTCTTTATTTATTAACAAGTTATAATTCAGCATTCAGTTTCAGGACTTTTGAAAGTATGTTTTTAATTCAAGAGAAATAGCTTTTAATATTTATGGCAGCGCACAGTCTGTTAGTGGAAAAGCTCAAATAGAGTAAACAAATTTTTATTTTATAATGGATATAGCTAAACTGATAAAATAAAATTTCTTGTTTTTAGTATTATGTTTAATAATTTCTTAATTGCAGACCCAAGAAATCAGCCAGAGGGACAATACCTACATGTGGAGCAGGCTTAATACACCTGTTTCAAAGTTGCTGGAAAGCTTTGAAAACTGATGAGAAAAGAGGTAGTTAAACACTGTTAGGGCATTATCATACAGGGGAGTTAACAGCTTAGTAATCTGGGTAATGGATAAACAGATAACTGTAAAGATCACTTAAGATTATTTCTACTTTGATAGGTGTTCATACACACTTTGCCTTAATAGCAAGGTTCATGTGTTCTAGTATGCATTTAGAGTTTGTCATTTGCTCCCTGAATCTTGAACATTCATACTTGTTGTTTCCTCCTCTTATGAAAGTATGTTCTATACAATGAAATAAATGTTTAAAGCAAGAGGTATGCAGCCACATCAAACAAATGAAAAGACATTATTATTAAGGCCAGGCTTAAAAATATTTTGGTTTGCCCAAACCCTACCTAAAGTTAGAGACAGTGGGTAGGTAGGTAGGCATTTCCTTTTGTTTTTCCGCAAAGAGAAATTGAAGTGTCAGATGTTTTTTTAGACTTCATGCCTATCTGATTAGAAAAAAAAAAAATTTTCACATCAGGATAATAAAAAGATTTTGAGTAGGCAGGCTATTTTTTTGGTAGGTAGGGTTAGGGTTAACAAGCATATTCTTTTTTATGGCCTAATCTGTGACTTTTAAATAAGAAAGTTTACTGATTTACATTCACAGAAATATTTTTTTTCTAACAGGTCAATTTTATGGAAGTATTCTAGAGACACTAAGTACCAGTAACTGGGGACCAGTACCATTGATGTTTATCTGTCAGGCTATATCATGTGTTCCTCGATCTCAGATACTCAATAAACAAGCTTTGCTTTTTATTAGGTAATATTTACTTTTGTAATGCCATGTTTTACTTGATTGCCACTGATGTTATTATTTCATTGGAAAATTTATCTTTTCATTCAAAATGTATGGTGTTCTAAAATTGAAATTACTCAATAATAATATAGCTTCAGATGAAGATGATTTTTTTTTCATTTTAGAGTGTTAACATATTTGACTTTGTCATGTGATGCTGAGCTAAAAAGTTATATATATGTTTTTTTAAATGAAAGAAAGTAAATAGTTTGGTATTGTTCTGTACAATCATTAAAGATAAATTAAAATTCTAAGCACAAATGTCTGTGTTACAGATGAAAAAGCACAAATGTCCTGTGTCTGTAATATGATGGGTACCTAAATCAATACTTGATAATATTTGTATTTTACAGGAAAATTCTTACCACTCAGGTTACAAATAGTGGAGTTTTCCTTAGAGGAGCTGCTCAGAGTTTCTTTGTTAGAACACTGCTATCATTAGCAAATTTAGTGAGTAAATTTTTTAAAAAGTTTTTCAATGTGATATTTATTGAAAAAGAGGCATAAGATACCTCAGGGACATTCAACACTCATAAGTCGGAGAGAAACTGAAAACATCATGGTAAGAAAAAACAACGAAAACATACAACAGTCTACAAAACACTACATAGAAAACTAAAGACTGAGCAACACTTACCCCACTAAAACTCTTAGGGGAGATGACAGGTGCTCCAGAAGGGTAAGCAGGTCCTGCTCCAAAATGTGGCACTTATTAAATTGTAGGATTAAGAATTGATTCCATGAATATATATTTATGAAGTAATTTTTGTCTCGTCTTGACGGAGTCAAAAAAACGAGACATAGGTATGCTGTTTCCGGCGGCGGTCGCCACAGCGGCGGTGGTGACGGCAGCGGCGGCTTCAACAATGTATTAGTTTGTGATTAGGTCTAGTTCATGGTGAACCACTAGTGGTAGGCCAATGATATTTTGTATGCAGTTGTATTAGCATTGGCACATCTCTTTACCATGGAGATTATTTTCCCCGCCCCCTCAGTCAAGGTCTATTGACTTTGAAACTTTGCTTTGTTTACATGTATTAGTTTGTGATTAGGTCAGTTTATTGGCAACCACTAGTGGTAGGTCAATGATATTTGGTATGCAGTTGTATAAGCATTGGCATATCTCATTTCCATGGAGATTATTTGGCCCCGCCCCCTCATTCATGGTCTATTGACTTTGAAACTTTTGCTTAGTTTTCATGTATTAGTTTGTGATTAAGTCAGTTTAAGGGGAACCGTTAGTGATAGGTCAATGATAATTGGTATGCAGTTGTATAAGCATTAGCACATCTCATTTCCATGGAGAATATTTGGTCCTTACCCCTCAGTCATGGTCTATTGACTTTGAAACTTTTGCTTAGTTTACATGTATTAGTTTGTGATTAGGTCAGTTTAAGATGAACCACTAATGTTAAGTCAATGATATTCGGTAAGTTTCATTTCCATGGAGATTATATAACCCCACCCCCTAATTATGGTTCTTTGACTTTGAAACTTTTACATAGTTTACAAGTTAATGTTTGTGTTTAGGTTTGTTTAAAGGGAATGACCTATGAAAAGTCAATGGTATTTGGTTTGCAGTTGTATTAGCATTGGCACATCTCATTTCCATGGAGATTGTTTAGCCCTGTACCTTCAGTCATGGTTCATTGACTTTGAATATTTGCATAACTTACATGCTACATTGCTATTTTAATTTCAACATTTGCATTATCAAAATAACAAATAGGCGAGACATATCTCGGTGTTAACAGTTTTATTTTAGAATCAATGTATTTTATAAGTACATTATATCTGGGACACCCTGAGAACTATCAACATCTTTTCTCATCTGAGGAATGATCAATTTATTGAGGGTTCAAGTTCCACATTATAGAAGTAAAAAATATTAGAAACAAAAAAAAATGTTCTAACAATCTCTAGAAATCAAAGTTTAATGTAAAGTATTTTTCAGTCATTGTATTAATCGGATCACTAAAAGTCTTTTTATACACCTGTATTTTGCAGTCAGTTGTACCACCAAAAGACTTTGCAGTCGCATTATCTATCTTTGAGACAGAAGATGGATTAGCAAGGGGAACAACTCTTTGGACCGATTGTGTAAATTGGTTGAAAGTTATATGTAAAGACCAAGATAATGAAGAGTGGTCACCAAAATCCCTCAATCAGTATCTGATCACAGCTGCAAGCTCGTTATTGCAAGTCAACCAAGGTAAAAAATAAATTTATAAATTCAAACACAGTTCTAAGTTAACAGCAATATATGAATTAGGGGGGTTAAACACCAGCCAGACATCTACCCAAATTTGTATGATGACTCAACCAAAAGTTATGAAACTTATGCACAATGCTTATTACCACAAAACACACATCAAGTTTGTATTTTGGTGGCATTACTTATACTATTCTAGAGTTATGTCCCTTTACAAATGGAAAAATTGCTGAATTTTTTTTGTTTCCATTCTTTAACTTTAGTTTGCTTCAAGCAAATGCTATGAGACTTATACACAATGCTTAATACCACAAAACTCCGATCAAGTTTGAATTTGGGTGGCATTACTTATACCATCCTAGAGTTATGCCACTTTATATATGTAGGACTCTAAAGTGCGATGGTACTCTAAAGTGCGATGGTCACGCTAAAGTGCGATGGTCTACGCTAAAGTGCGATGGTTTCAGACGCTAAAGTTCAATTGTTGTTTGTTTTTTTAAGTGCGATCAGATGACACGCTAAAATGCGATGGTATACATGACACGCTAAAGAGCGTTGGTTTAACACGCTTTTAAAAGTGCGATGGTGTAATGAGAATGGGGTTCAGGCAATGGTTTATGTTTTTTGCTGTGTTCATATTAGTTTTTCGTCTATTGTATTGTTTATAAATCATGCTGTTGTCTTTCTCTTTTGAATTGTTTTACATTAGTCGTTTCGTGGTCCTATATAGCTTCCATGCGACGTAAGCCAAGCCTCCACGTTGAAGTTCATAATCTTGCTAAGTGCATATGGTCTTTGGTGGATAGTTGTTTGTTGACAATTACACCACAACTTCTTATTTGTTTTTTGTTTATTGTTTTCTATCTCTTTCACAGACATGACGAACCATATTGTAAAAAATTGTTTTATAAAATATTTCAATTAGAAAATTAAAAAGTAGCTTTTATTTCACGCAAGTAAATAACATGGGATTAAAAACATAGAAGGAGTTTCTAAATCAAATTTGGACGAATTAAATACTTTGACACTTGGTGTATTTTGCCGTTTTCGCTCTCTTTTACGGTATACACCTTCCAATTACTAGCGTCAGTTTCTAAATTTATGAGAAGTATTCTTTTCCAGTATCCTGTCAGAAACCCGTGTGTCCCCGCCGACACAGCGGGATCAAAGGTTTGATTTAATTTTTTGGGAAATAACTCCTCCGCATACAAACTTTTCTAGCACCAACCAAAATTGGAATCATTTGTTTTCGTGTCTAGTAAAAAAAACTTCATCTGCACAAACATTCTCGTTTACCCATGTCCATTTTTGTTTGTACAAACGGCGTGTAGAGTCATAATGCTATTTATGGTTGCAAACGTCCATACTTTCGCGAACAAACGCATTTTCGCTGAAAAACGCACTTTAGCGTATCGCAGCATCGGACTTTAGCGTGACCATCGCGTTTTAGCATCCCCATCGCACTTTAGAGTCCTACATATATACAGAAAAATTGCTGAATTTTTCGTTTCCGTTCTCTAACTTCAGTTTGCCTCAACCAAATGTTATGAAACTTATACAAAATGCTTATTACCACAAATCTCAAATCAAGTTCGAATTTGGGTGGCGTCACTTATACAATTCTCTTCTTATGTCCATTTATAATGTTATATGCAAGCAGGGGCATCATCTGTGTCCCATGGACACATTCTCCATTTATATTTGAACATAACATCCTAGTTATACCCCCGCTTTAAAAAAGTGGGGGTATACTATTTTATCTCTGTCTCTCCGTCCATCCGTCAGTCCGTCTGTCCCATGAATATTTTTGTAGCATTTTCTCAGGTACTACATCACAAGGATTTCTGAAATTTGGTTTCCAGGTTTATATGAGTGAGCTATACCGTGTGATGCGTTTTCAGATTCATCACTCAACAACTTCCTGTTTACTGAACACTTACATATTTTTACACTGTTAAAATTATCCATATTTGGGCGGGGGTATCATCAGTGAGCAGTAGCTTGCAGTTTCACTTGTTTTATACCATATGACACATTTTTAATGGATTACTTATTGCAAAGAAGAGAATGGGTACAAGTTTAATTTACTATTTTTCTGTCTATACAAGATCTACTTGTATTTAGGTAAAAACTGTAACTCCCATTTTTTCTGGAATCTGTAGTATTTATAGTTTTACATGTATTATATTTTGCAGAAGCAGATTTCAGCTTGAATGAGATGGAAGTCACTTCATTCAGCAGATTGCTATTACTAGCAGTGGATAGTGGTGTTCTTCCATATACAGTAGAACCAGGAGTACAAGAACCTTGTCTTACTGGGATAGTTATGACTGTATCAGGGGTCATCCACTCTATTCCAAACCATCCTTACATGTCCCATCATAAAGCAGAAAAGGCTATTGAGGTCCTTGTGTCATTGCTGCTGGAGAGTGGACAGTTAAATGGTACTTAAATATAGGATAATGGTTATCTTTAAAATAGAGGCGCCTAATAACCTTCGTTCTTCGAGTGAAAGTGAGACTATAGAATGACCCATTCTGCATCATCCCGTCATAACAGGTTCCATGGCAGTGCAGAAAATACAAAGAATTTATGTTTCATGAGTATGTCCGTCTGTCCATCTTTCTTGTAAGCACAGCTTCTCTTAAACAGCTATTAGGATATTGATCAAACTTAACACTACCTGAGGATATGAACATGGAATATTATCTATGTTCCACTTGTTAAATGGGAGATAATCAAACTTACTTAATTCAATATTGCAAAATGTGATAATAGTATCTCATAAGAGCAACTACTCCTAAACAGCTGGACATATACATGTATTGATGAAACTTTACACAGTTGTAGAACAATATATGGATGCGCATCATGGAATATTGTTCCTGTCCTATATGTTTATGGCGATTCTGTCTCCCAAGAAGCATGTAAAGTTGTTTTTGCTCTGTTATGTCATTTATATATATATATAAAAGATATAAGTCAACAAATTTCTTATGAGGGTGCTGGATAGTTATGAAAAAGAAGGGGTATCCTATGTGAATTCATTCACATTTCTTGTTAGTTTCTTTTGATGTGAACTGTTGTTATCTCTTTGTAATTTTTATACGACTGCAAAAAAATTTTGTGGTCGTATATTGGTATGACGTTGGCGTCGTCGTCGTGGTCGTGGTCGTCGGCATTTGGCGTCGTCCGGCGTCGTCGTCCGAAGACACATTGGTTTTCGCACTCTAACTTTAGTTTAAGTGAATGGATCTTTTTGAAATTTGACCATAAGGTTAAATACCACAAAAGGAAGGTTGGGATTGATTTTGGGGGTTATGGTACTAACAGTTAAGGAATTAGGGGCCAAAAAGGGCCCAAAAATAAGCATTTTCTAGTTTCCAGACAATAACTGTGGAACGGTGTATGGATCTCTCTGAAATTATACTACAAGTTTCCATACCACAAAGGGATGGTTAGGATTTGCTTTGGGGGGTTATGGCTCAAACCGTTTAGGAATTAGGGGCAAAAAAGGGGGAAAAACAAGGTTGTCCTGGTTAATGGACAAATACTTTAGTTCAAAACATAATTTAAAGCAGTGTAAGGGAGATAAATCAAATACATCATTGAAATTATCTCCCTTACACTGCTTTTAAATTATGTATAAAGTAATGGTTAATGAACAATAAAGATAATTTAAAACAGTGTAAGGGAGGTAATCCAAATACGTTTTGGTTACTTCCCTTACACTGCTTTTAAATTATGTGTAAAGAAATGCATATTTAAAAAGGAAGACCAGTAAAAATATCTGCAAATGTTGCATCTTTTTTTTTTTACAAAAAAATCCATATGAAGGTCCAAAGGGTCCAAAATTAAACTTTGTTTGATTTTAGCAAAAATTGAATATATGAGGTTCTTTGATATGCTGAATCTAAACATGTATTTAGATTTTTGATTTTTGGCCCAGTTTTCAAGTTGGTCCAAATTGGGGTCCAAAATTAAACTTTGTTTGATTTCAACAAAAATTGAATATATGGGGTTCTTTGATATGCTGAATCTAACCATGTATTTAGATTTTTTATTTGTGGACCCCGTTATCAAATTGGTTCATATTGAGGTCAAAAGGGATCAAAATTAAACTTTGTTTGATTTCATCTAAAATTGAATTATTGGGGTTCTTTGATATTCCAAATCTAACCGTGTATTTAGATTTTAATTTTGGGTCCTGTTTTTTAAATTGGTCTACATTAAGGTCCAAAGGGTCCAAAATTAAACTTAGTTTGATTTTAACAAAAATTGAATTCTTGGGGTTCTTTGATATGCTGAATCTAAACATGTGTTTAGATTTTTGATTATGGGCTCAGTTTTCAAGTTGGTCCAAGATAGGGTCCAGTATTTAAACTTTGTTTGATTTCAACAAAAATTGAATATATGGGGTTCTTTGATATGCTGAATCTAAACATGTATTTAGATTTTTGATTATGAGCCCAGTTTTCAAGTTGGTCCAAATTGGGGTCCAAAATTAAACTTTTTTTGATTTCAACAAAAATTGAATATATGAGGTTCATTGATATGCTGAATCTAACCATGTATTTAGATTTTTTATTTGTAGGCCCCGCTTTCAAATTGGTTCATATTGAGGTCAAAAGGGTCCAAAATTAAACTTTGTTTGATTTCATCAGAAATTGAATTATTGGGGTTCTTTGATATGCCAAATCTAACCGTGTTTTTAGATTTTTAATTTGGGTCCCGTTTTTTAAATTGGTCTTCATTGAGGTCCAAAGGGTCCAAAATTAAACTTAGTTTGATTTTAACAAAAATTGAATTCTTGGGGTTCTTTGATATGCTGAATCTAAACATGTGTTTAGATTTTTGATTATGGGCCCAGTTTTCAAGTTGGTCCAAGTTGGGGTCCAAAATTAAACTTTGTTTGATTTCAACAAAAATTGAATATATGGGGTTCTTTGATATGCTGAATCTAACCATGTATTTAGATTTTTTATTTGTGAGCCCCGCTATCAAATTGGTTCATATTGAGGTCAAAAGGGTCCAAAATTAAACTTTGTTTGATTTCATCAAAAATTGAATTATTGGGGTTCTTTGATATTCCAAATCTAACCTTGTATTTAGATTTTTAATTTTAAGTCCCATTTTTTAAATTGGTCTACATTAAGGTCCAAAGGGTCCAAAATTAAACTTAGTTTGATTTTAGCAAAAATTGAAATCTTGGGGTTCTTTGATATGCTGAATCTAACCATGTATTTTGATTTTGGACATTGGACCATAATAGGTAAATTAAAAAAAATTCAAATTCTTAGACCACATTCTTTCTGTGTCAGAAACCTATGCTGTGTCAAATATTTAATAACAATCCAAATTCAGAGCTGTATCAAGCTTGAATGTTGTGTCCATACTTGCCCCAACTGTTCAGGGTTCGACCTCTGCGGTCGTATCAAGCTGCGCCCCAGCGAAGCATTTAATTTTTCTTTTGGTTGTGGTCATAGTTTTTTTTTAAACTATTGGGTCTTAATTGCTCCCATGCTGCCTTTTGCTCTTTTTATGCCCCCCGCCATAGGCAACAGGGGCATCAAGTGTAACCCTTGACCCTCTTTCCGTCCATCCTTCCATCTGTCCCATTTTCGTTTCCACACTCTAACTTCAGTTTTCCTCATTAAAATTTTATGAAACTCATATTCAATGCTAACAACCAAAACTAGCAGACAGAGTTCGATTTTATGCAGAGAGTCACCTATAGTTCTAGAGTTATGCCCCCTTTTTAACTTGGAAAATTGCAAAGTTTGAGAGGGGCATTCTTGTCCTCAGACACATTCTTCTTTTATTTTAAGTTGTATTGCAACAAAGTTGTGAAGGTTATATTGTTTCTGACATTTCCTTCCAACTATATGTTATCACTTTGTTGGTGTAATCATCACTGTTGACTCTCTTTTATTTACAGAAGATAGATTTTGTCAGCTGATAAGGAAAAGTATTTCAGATTGTATGGATAGCTTTTTATTGTTCACTACACAGATGCTCCTTGAAAAATGGACACAGGTAATGTCCTAATTAAGTGATTAACTTCCCTTATTTATGTACATTGTGTATTGTCAGTGTTACATTTAGCACCCATGAAACTCAGTTGGATGAAGTTTATGACAAAATTAGGATCTTTATTGTTTAGAATAGGTTTTATTAGATGTATGTGTGATATACCATTGATGTATGGTATGCTGTTGCATCAGTAATCATAGACTCCTTTTTCAGGGAGAATATCAGGTTCTGTCCCATCAACCATGTTAAGTCATAAGCAACTTTGCTAAATTTTGATATTATAATTTACAAACTAAAGGAAGTACTTATTAGTTTGTTTTAAGGTTATTTCAATTGCATGTAGATCATAAAATTCATTTAAATGTTGACAAAAAGTATGAATTATTGTATGATTTATTTCAATAAAAGTTTTAGTGTATGAAGCATTTAAGAATTTTATTAGAATTGGAATAATATAGAATTTAAAAACGAGGTATATGAGAAAATCTTTCACAATGGGAGATAGCTCTTTGATAACGAAAAATAAATTGATTACAATACATTGGTAAATAATAGATATGCATTAGGCAAGAATGTGATGTCTGAAGTTTAATATTTACAATTTGTTGCAGATATCCTCTGTACAGTCAATAGAGTTATTTGTACATGGACTCACTCAGTTTTTACAACTTACATGTACAGAACAACAGTTTGATCAACAGGTTTTGAAACTGGTTAATAGTTGTATACAGATACTTACAGATCCGATCCTTGGTGTAAAGGTGGGTTATATTCCAAACTTCTATAAATTCAGAAAGTTTTGCGAGGTTTTTGTTTTTGCAAAAAATTGCGACTGGATAGGTTTTTAAGAAATAAAAAGTCACATTTAAAGTTTGGATAGAATTATTTATATGCAGCATTTCTTGTAATAACAATAATTAATCTTGCATTTTTGTTCATTTTTTAACAATTCAAATAATAAATGCACAGAAGACAGTTCTAGATTTACAATATTTAAAAAAAAAGCAGTCATCAACCGTACGAACAACGTTTATAGTCAAAACTTGGTAAGGGTTTACCATAACAGTGCACAAAACCTCCCATTTTCATAACAGATTTGGTTTTTATCTTTATAGGTAGAAATGTATGCACAGATCAAGAAACTTGCCTCAATAGGGATCCTTAGTTCTGTAACATCATCATTGACAGGCAGTCCGCGATTTATTCATGAGAAGATTTTTTCATTTGTAAATGACTTAAACTGCACAACTTCATTTGACAAACCTGTTGCTGATATAAGGTACATATACACACATAACAAGATTAAGCTGTCAATGTATATTTGTTCCACATAACAAAAGTTCCACTGGAAACTTTGTTATAAAATATATCATAATATATGTTCCTGTTGGAACAAATATTCTATACTATTTATTCCGTTAGGAAAATATACTGTAATATTGGTAAATGACCTTTTATGAGCTATTGTAGTCTTATATGAAAAGAAAAATGGGTGTTATGGGGCAAATTATTTTACCCTGTATCGTAGGAAAAAAACCAAGGAGTCCGAACATCTGACAATAATTCCTAAACCTCACCTAAGTACATCCTTAAGGTTATTTTGTAGATTGGTCAGACTCTGGTCAGTCCTTTCTTAATTTAATTAAGCAGACATTTAAAATATCAAGAAGGAAGTTTGTAATTTATTAGAGTATTCGACTTATTTGACTTATTTATTGGTGACACAATCAATTATTTAAGGAATGATTGTAATATTTTTTCTGTCTATGAAGAAATAACATCAAAAATGTGGTGCACACTGAATAACCTGCGTAGCGGGTTATTTTAAAGTGTGCACCACATTTTTTATGTTATTTCGAATAGACAGAAAAAATATTACAGTCATTTCTTATAATTTAATTCTTAATTCCATTTTAAACCGGTGTAAATCATGAAAAAACGTTGATGACGTCAAGGTCACATGACAAAATTATGTCTATGAGCTGATAAACAAAACACTGTCAGCCAATCGGAAGACGTGTTACATCCAAAATTAAATTATTGATAAATGTCATATTTTTCAGCCATAAAGAATGGGGAAAGATTGCTTCATTATTTATATCATACCAATGGAAAGTTATGGAATATTACTTAAGTCATATAGATGATGTAAATAAACCTATGGTACCGATATTAAAGGTGTGCCAAGATTCACTGTCTGTGTGTAGTGGATTAAACACAATACCTGTTTACAGGTGTATAGGATGCCTATTTAGTAAGGTAAGTTTTTGTTGCTTTATGGGAAAACAATATCTGAGTTAGTTTAAAATGTGTGAATTATGTCAGCATGGGTAAGAAATTCAGTCAAATGATTTTAAATATTTTACGTTTGATATAATTATTGATTCCGTAGAGAATAAGATCGTACATTCAGTTCAATATTTTTTAAACCGTGAAGAATAACTTTTTGATTTGTTTAAATGATTATTTTCACCGGTATTTAATGAAAATTTTATTCAAAAGTATCTCAATTATCGACAAGTGCATAAATTTTTGTGAAATAAATATTTATATGTTTCAAAATGTCCATAATTATTGACAACAAGTATGTACTTACATTTTTCCAAAAGTATCTCAATGTTAAATTAGTTTAAAAAGAAAATGGTACTATATGTTTAACTGATTTTTCCTGTAGACTTAAATCAAACAATAGAAAATTAAATTGTTTTATTCATAATTTTATACATTTTATAATTATATCTGTGACTATTTTAGTGCCAAATACCTAATGATTCAAGCAGTATTATTGAAGCCTTGTCTGTAAGTTGGAGTCATGTCCAAGGAGAAACTAGGTCAAGCTGTTTCTGGGAAGTCTTTGAAGAATTTATAAACTTGTCGTTCCAGCCTGCTTTACTTCAGCAGCCAAGAGATCCTGCATTAAATGATGTTATTGTAAAGGTATGCAGATTGTGTGTTTTACAGAATTAACCTTCCTTATGTTTAACAATTGCATGAAGTAAACCCATATTTATCATAAAGAAATGTAAATGTTAAAATGAAAGAAATTTCAGATCAAAGGGCTAAGGTAAAGCAACCTGAATCAAGATATTTGAGTTGAGCATATTGATTTCAATAACTTATACCTCAATTGGTTTAACTTGCCCAAATTATGGAAAGGTTGATTATGATGAATCTTTTTCAGTCCTGCTAAAAGAAGTGGTCTTAAAGGTCATGGGAACAACTTTTTATGTGTTAGAAACTATTCGTATTTGTTCTGATTATAAAGAATAAAAAATCTTACCTCTTCTACAGAATTAAAGAAATAAAAAAAAATTTTCTTATTGATTTCACATGACATTTCATGCAAGTGATACAAATTCTTTTTTATAATTATCATAATTAGAAGATCTCAGTAGATCCATTCTTTGAGTGCTGAAATTTTGAAAAAATTAATTAAATAGATATAAATGTGTGTTTACTAGGGCTTTCAGGGAAATTTAAACCAGCTTATGTTGGTATTTGATGTTTCTGAAGTGCCTTTGTCTGTTGGTCTTAGTTTGGTTTCAATTTAATATCTTTTACCATAGTCAGCTTATTTGAAATGTGAAAATATTGATAAGGAGTCAACTATAATATCCCTTTTATCTTCCCTGAGTTTTGGACTTTGATTATACTAAAAACCAAATAAGAAGATTGTGCACATAATCAAATCGTTTGAATATATTAAGAAATATAGTAAATATTGTAAGGGACAATTAAACACAAGTTATATGCTTTTTTGTTGTTCTTAGGCTTGGCCTTTACCGGTAATTCTATATAGACACACAATAACCTGAGGGTAAAATAGAGAATGGAAATGGGGAATGTGTCAAAGAGACAACAACCCGACCATAGAGCAGACAACAGCCGAAGGCCACCAATGGGTCTTCAATGCAGCGAGAAACTCCCGCACCCGAAGGCGTCCTTCAGCTGGCCCCTAAACAAATATGTATACTAGTTCAGTGATAATGGACGTCATACTAAACTCCAAATTATACACAGGAAACTAAAATCAAAAATGATACAAGACTAACAAAGGCCAGAGGCTCCTGACTTGGGAGTGTTCTATTGAGTTGACTATGCTGTGTTCACTGAGAATTTGTTTACTAATAGCTCATTGGTATGACTTGCTAAACACATGCTTACTTTCATTCTGATATGTGCCACTTGATTATTTTATTTTTTTGCTCTTTTTTAATATTTTACAAATGGCAATGTTGGAATGAGGCATCACTATTCCTTGACATTTTTTTTTTCTTTAATTGAATGATGATAACAATCCAATGTTCCAAATTGATTAGTTCTATAATCGTTACACATTTTCAGTCAGCATGTGAATTAATGGAATTTGGAGGAGAAAAGACGGGTATTGCTAATATTCTGATGAGAAGATTGTGTACTGTGTTCAAAAGTTCTTTACAATTAGCAGACGGTTTCTACTGCATACTTAGCCAAGCTGCTATTTATGGAAATATATTCAGGAAACAAGAAAGGTCGGTATATTTAAAATACTTTGAAAAAAGATATACATTTTTTGTACTATCATTATCATAAGAGAGAATTATTGCATGTTGGACCCAGACTTGGCATTTTGTATAATCTAATTACCAATAGCAAAAAATCTAAATTCATTTTCTGCTTGAATATTTTCACTGGCTGTTGGCTGATAGCTATAATTTTATAATAAAAATCCATATTCCATATGTTTCTGCCTAGGTTTTCATCAATACTTGTAATTTTCTGCTTTATGGTACATACTGATTATATTCATTAAAAATAATATAAAACTTTGTGCCACCTTGCTTTCAAGCAATGTTTACAAATTCTTTCACAATGCTTTGTAAACATTTATAGATGTAAAATATGCATGAAAATCTAAAAAAGTACTCAATTAACAATGTAGGCTTTTGGACAATTGCCAATTTGAACACTGTAGAAGTACATAAAGGGCTTTAATGTGATGCCACCTTGCTGTGTGAAAAGGCTTTTGCACATATTTTCAGCTATTATATATCCTTTATAAACTTACAATGTATTTGGTCAGAAAATGATCATGATGAATGCTAGTGAAATTTGAACATGTAACAGAAATATGATCACATTAATTTCATTGATGCCATTAATTTTTTTACCCGCTTCCATAGGAGGGTATACTGTTTTACCTCTTTCTGTACATATGTCCGTCTGTCCATAGTCTGTCCCTATGTCAGTCAGTCCCGAGAAATTCTGTTGCATTTTTTCTCAGGAACTATAAACCAGAGCTTCCTGAATTTTTTTATCAGTCTTCATGTGAACATGGTATACACTGTGATGTGATTTCAGGTTCATGGATTTTCAAATACCTGTATTAAACTGTTTACCGATTACTCAAATATTCTAACACATAATGGCCATGTATGAAACTTCTGTCCAATTTTTGCTCACCTGGCCGAAAGGCCAAGTGAGCTTTTCTCATCACTTGACGTCCGTCGTCTGTCCTCTGTTGTTGTCATCTTCATCATTGTCATCTTCGTTGTCGTCAGTTAACTTTTACATGAATCTTCTCTTGTGAAACTACTCGGCCAAATTTAACCAAACTTGGCCACAATCATTATTAGGGTATTTAGTTTAAAAAATGTGTCTGATGACCCCGCCTGTCAACCAAGATGGCTGACATGGCTAAAAATAGAACATAGGGGTGAAATGCATGGGAAAAACTGTTGGACATCTGCATCTACATTGTACGTTGAACTGTCAATCTTGACCAAATACTCAACGCTTCCGGTGGACGCAAGAAAAAGAGTAATTTTATAAGATAAACCAAAAATATATAAAGCAAGTATCAAGTATGATAGGAAAAAAAATAAATAAAAGAAAGTAAAATAATAAAGAAAGGGGGGTACCCATTTGCTTTTCTTTCATCTGGCCTGAATCAATCGGTACCAAGAAAATAATCCCTGCTGGCACAGATCCAGTCCATCATTTGACTTACTTGGCAAATGGGAGACTGAATAGACTAAAAGAGAGTGTTGAAAGCTCCAGACGACTCCTTAGTAGAGTTATTGCCCTTCAATGGAAGACAAGATCTACAAATAAGTTTACTGACCAACTTTTTCAGTCGCATTGCTGTTATTGCTTTAAAGTGTTTTGAAAACTATAATAGATAGATAGACACTTTAAATAGCTAAAATTATCAGCAAGACAAGATCTTCAAATATGTCAACATGGTCGAAATTGTTAGTACACATCGGAGTTCTTGATCTTTTATGACAATTTCTACCTTTTTTGCCTATTATCTTGAAAATAGATAACAAAATAATCAGCAAGACAAGATATGCAAACAAGACAAATTTCGACACAATAGTTAGTAGACTCTTTATAGGAGCGATTGCCCTTAAATGACGATGTTTATATCTTTTTTTGTGTTTTGGGCAAAAAGTAAAAAAGATATAGGAAAACTGTGAACAGAAAAAATTATCAGCAATACAAGAGCAAGATGAATTCTTTTTTAGTCTACAATGTTGGAGAGTGACCATTAATGAGGGTAGGAATGCCCTTTACCTTCAGGCGTCAAACCGTCATTTTTGGCTACCGTTAGCTTCAAATTGGTTAAAATTTTACTGTGATTCGTCAAAATATCATTATGGTGATTCGTCAGAGGTCTCAAATAATTATCAATACTATTATTTTTGGAAAAAATTTAACGTGATTCGTCAAAATCAGTCGATTTTTTTATCGTCTAAAAGAAAGTTTACATTTTATCATCATGCACCAAAAATTACGGTTAACGTCATTTGGCAAGAATTTTTAACGTTATTCGTCATGAAGGTACCCCCCATTACGACCCTCATTAATGAAGATGCATATAGACCTAGGTGAGAAACACTCTTTAGAGCCTCTAGTTCTAGGGAACTACAAATAAAAACTTCCTAAAATTTTTGTCTGTCTTCGTGTGAACATACTTTACCTTCATCTTCGCTAGCCAAGCAAGGGTTACGATCCTTTCCCTATCCCTCCACCCTTGGCAGATTAAGCCAACATTTTTGTGAATACAATGCTGCGCCATCTACCAATAGATATAAGTCAGGCCCATTCTGACTACATCATTTTTGACCAATGACAACACTTGAACTATCTTCAGTTTGGAGGTGTAAATATTGTTGTGTTTTGTGTTTGCAAATTTTGTGAAACTGGAATCGAAAATATACATTGACATTCCAACATTTCCACAAGAAACATACCCAGGAACTTCAATTAGATGATTAAGAACTTTAGAATTGTCACAAAATATCGTCCTATGTTTTGAGGGTAAAGACTTGTTGCACAATCTGCATGTGACAATTGTTTATTTACATTTCTACATTTACGCGTGATCATCTTAAAGGTGCTTTTTGATTGGATGCAGCCAGTTACAACTGCGACTAATAGAAATCATTACCTCGTGGATCCAAAATTCTATCTTAATCTGCCAAGGGTGGAGAGGAGGGGACTGGATCGTAACCTTTGGCTAGCGAAGATAACTTTACCTTGTGATATGTTTTCAGATTCATCTCTCATGAACGTCCTGTTTATCGATTTCTTAAAGCAGGGTATTTTTTAGTGAGCAGTAGCTCACAGTTTTACCAGTTTTTACTATTTATCCTATGGAATCTTGAAGCAGATTTGTAGTTGCAATTCATTAAACACATGAACTATTTTAAAGTTTTAAGATTAAGTCTATATGAAAGAACTTATGCATGATATCAATTATAAATCAATATGTATTTTGTATGGTGACTGTTGGTTAGAAATAAAGTCTCAAACACATTAGAATCAGAATCATACTTTTATTTTCACACCAATTATAGCAGGAATAATTTCCATGAAGATCTCTTCCAAACTTAATTTTATTTACTCCATGACTACATCTCATGAAAATAGTTGCACATTACCAGTAGTTACAAATCAGAGAGAAAATCTAAATATGAGGCATATTATTAACCCCCATTTTTTTTAAACCTACAAACTCCAAAAGTGATGCATAGTTAATGTGTGATTAGCAAATAACAGATTCATGCTCCTGGCTCATGGTCAAGATGATTTTAACAAAGTCTTTTTTATGACAATCAATCTATAATTACATTTGTATAAAAATTTCTTTTGACAAATATTCTGCCATTAGGTATTTTGGAATATAAGCTTCTAAAGATTTATTGTCTCTGAGGTCTTTTGGGGTAAATTTCATTTATGACAGACAAATATATAGGAATTGTCACTGTTTTGGCAGTCTTTTATGATAAGTTTTCTTTTCAAACAAATGGTTTGTAATGAGAAGTGGCCTTTGTGATAAGTGCTTTGCTATGACTGTTATATGACTAGTAGTTGTCCATGGCAAGATTTATCCTTTAATTTATGGTGTAATGGTTAATTTACGTAATGCCAATATGGTCTAATTTGATTGATTTTTGTCGAGCCTGCGACTTTTGTCGCAAAAGCTAGACATAGCGATCCTACATTCCGTCGTCGGCGTCGTCCACAAATATTCACTCTGTGGTTAGAGTTTTTTAAATTTTAATAACTTTCTTAAACTATCCTGCATTTCAACCAAACTTGGACAGAAGCTTGTTTATAATCATAAGATAATATCCAGAAGTAAATTAAAAAAAAAAAAATCCTGTTTATCCGTATTTTACTCATAAATGGACTTTTTTAGCTCACCTGGCTCCTCTGAAACCACTGGGCCAAATTTAACCAAACTTGGCCACAATCATCATTAGGGTATCTAGTTTAAAAAATGTGTCCGATGACCCCGCCAACCAACCAAGATGGCGGCCATGGCTAAAAATAGAACATAGGGGTAAAATGTAGATTTTGGCTTATATCTCTGAAACCAAAGCATTTAGAGTAAATCTGACATAGTGTAAAACTGATTATCAGGTCAAGATCTATCTGCCCTGAAATTTTCAGACAAACCTGACAACCTGTTGTTGTGTTGCTGCCCCTGAATTGGTAATTTTAAGGAAATTTTGCAGTTTTTGGTTATTATCTTGAATATTATTATAGATAGAGATAAACTGTAAACAGCAATAATGTTCAGCAAAGTAAGATCTACAAATAAGTCGTCATGACGAAAATTGTCAGTCGACCCCTTTAGGAGTTATTGCCCTTTATAGTCAATTTTTAACAATTTTTCGTAAATTTTTGTTATCTTTTACAAAAATCTTTTTCTCTGAAACTACTGAGGCAAATTTAACCATACTTGGCCATAATCATTATTAGGGTATCTAGTTTAAAAAATTTGTCCGATGACCCCGCCTTCCAACCATCATGGCCGACTTGGTTAGAAATAGAACATAGGGGTAAAATGCAGTTTTTGGTTTATATCTCTGAAACTAAAGCATTTAGAGCAAATCTGACAGTGGCAAAAATGTTCATCAGATTTAGATTTATCTGCCCTGAAATTTTCAGACGAATCCGACAACCCGTTGTTGGGTTGCTGCCCCTGAGTAAGTAATTTTACAGAAATTTTACAGTT